CTTTCATGGGAATGGATTTTTGGGGAGAATCTGTTGGGAGCAGCACGGGTAGAGAGTTTGTGGCTGGAGGCATAGGAGGAACTGCTGGTATAATCTCTGGTTATCCATTAGACACCCTTCGTGTCATGCAACAGAACTCCAACAATGTTTCTGCATTCAACATCCTTAGACATGTCGTGGCCAAGGAAGGACCAGCTTCTCTCTACCGTGGCATGGCTGCACCTTTGGCTTCCGTCACTTTTCAGGTCTTTTTTAATTAACTGCATTTTCACTTTGTTTAAGTGCAGACATGTTTGGGTGTAACTCACATGGATGATGGGGGTGTGTCTTCTCCGCTTCAATAATTCAACTCATTAGATCACTCTAGATTTCATGTACAATCTTTCAAGCCACCTCACTGCCCCAATCGCCATTCTTTTTTTCTTTTTTCTTTTAGTTTTTAACAATTTTATTATCTGTTGTGCTAAAAATAATAAAAAATTCAAATGAAAGTTTACAATATTTAATGTCATTCATATATTTCAGTTGTAAAAATTTCAAATTAATTCCTTATCCTTTATTTGAATGATAATGCTTTTTCTACTTATATTTGTCAATAAATTTAATGATTGTTTTTTATTTATTTTCTCATGAGTCTAAGATAATATTTATTATATCTTTTTAAATTATGTCATTATGCTCCTTTCCAAACAGTGTTAAATGCTTTATTATCGAGGAGAGATAACGTAAAATAGAAAAAAAAAAACGTAATAAGAAATTTTTAAAAATATAGTAAAATTGTTAATCATATTTTTTAATTTATGAGTTTCTTGTCTTAATTAATGCAGACATAAATTTATGAGTAGAGGCAATAATTAGCAAAATCATTTATTCAGGTTCCTTTCTTTGGTGTATAGAAACTTTAATAAAAGCGAGATAAGTATGTGGGTTAAGAAATGTTTAACATGTTTCATTAAGTATTTTTATTTATTTAAAAATTAATAAATATTATATATTTTTTAGCAAAATAAACATTTTTATTAAATATTTTTTCTAAATTATATTTGTTAGAATTTGTCCATGTTAGTTGATTAGCGCTTATATCTTAAATTATTAAAAATAATTATAGAAAATTAATTTAATTTACAAAAAATTCGTAAGTTAGTGTTCTAACGACAGCATTTATTTTATTATTTTTATACTCAAATTCCCAAATCTATTTTTTATTATATAATATATTATGTATTTTGTTTTTCCTTTTTTATCCTTGTTTCTATCTACTGCTTATTTCAAACTTAAATGGCAAACAATCATTTTTCTTTATCGCAATTCGAAACGTTTTCCATTTTGAAGTTGACTCAACTGTCATTTCCACGTGGGCCGTCGTGTATATGCGTCTCTTTTGCCAAGGTCGGTGCAGGAAAACGAGCACAGAACTTGCAATTACGTAACGATAATTTGAAAAAATAAAATATTATAAATTTTGTTTTTCAAGCTTTAAGTTACGTAGTTCAAACATATTGCTCTTATTCTTATGTACCTCCCACACACAAATAATTCTAAATTTTTTAACATTTTAATAATATTAATTAATATTTTCATTTTATTTTTAATCGTATCACATTATTTTTTTAACTTTTTTCTCTTTTATTTTTATTCTACTTTAGTTGTTACAAACATTAAAAATGGTCATGTGCCATTCGTGGCTATGAAAATTTTGAAGAAATAACAAATAATAGGGAGTCCATAAAATTGGTCTACTGCATTCCCGTGTAAACGGTTGGCTTAAGTACGTAAAGTTTTATTTTGTTTAAACTATTTTAAAATCTTTGTTTTTTATATTTATAAAATTTAACATTATTAAATAAAAATTAAATATTTTGTACATATTATTTTTAATGCTTATTGTGAGAATAGTAAGGACGATCTACAATGTCTTTTAGTCATCTTGATTAATCAATTTAAAGGATTTGTCTAAGTTATTTTACGAGGTAAATAGTTCTATCTTAAATAAATTAATAAAGTTAAGACAATACGTTAAAAATAAAATAAAATTTTTACTAACAAAATTATATTAAACGGAGTTATTTAATTTTACACAAAAAACGAAAAATAAAATCCTTGGTAAAATGTGACTGACTACAAGAGAAGTGATGATTTTATTTGTTTTGGGTGCAGAACGCTATGGTTTTCCAAATTTATGCAGTTCTCTCAAGGGCATTTAGCCTGTCTGCGTCTATTAATGAGCCTCCTTCCTTCAAGGGTGTGGCTTTAGGAGGATTTTGTGTGGGGGAGGGTTACAGAGTACGTTACTCTCCCCCGTTGAGTTGGTCAAAATTCGTCTTCAGCTGCAAAATATGGGCCAATTAACAGAAACCCAAAAAGGCCCTGTAAGGGTGGCAAAGAGCATTTGGAAAAGGGAGGGGCTTCGTGGCATCTATCGAGGACTTGGCATCACTATGCTCAGAGATGCACCTGCGCATGGCCTCTACTTCTGGACATACGAATACATGAGGAAGATACTGTTGGGTTGGACTCCCAACTATGTGTCCAAAAGTCTAAATTTTTAAGCTCATTTTCTACACACTTAATTGAGGGGAGTGAGAAGTCAGTAGAGTGGGTGAGGGAAGTCCATTTTCGCAGCCTAGTGTGAGCATTTTCGGTGAGAGGCATCAAAAAGAGAGAAGGGAAGTGAGGGAAGAAAAGAAGCTCCAGACCAGCTGCTTCATTTTTCTGATATCCAATTAGTTCACCGTTGGATCGGGCTGAAAATTTTACAACAGATTCGTAACACGGTGCTCTTTGTTCTGACCGTTCGGATTGTCAATTAGAGGTCTGAAGTTGGAGATACTGTCTTCGCACAGAAGCCCTGTTTTTGGTGACTCTGCACAGACCAGCTGCTGAGAAATTGTTATTTCTCCTTAGTTAACCGTTGGATTGAGCTGAAACTTTGACATTAGTTCCCAGACGTATATTTCTTCATTCTGACCGCTGGGATCGTCGATTAGAGGTTTTGGCTGAGAGAAATCGTGTATGAACAGCAGCTCTATTTTGTGAGATTTTCTCTCTTTGGTTAGGCTTTATTGCTTGGTTGTATTAGCTGGTTGTTTGCACGAATTTGTGCAGTATTTTGAGACTCTCTTGTAACCTCATTTGATTATAGTGGAGCTTGATTGACTGGCTTGAGCCCGTGGGTTTTTACTTCTCACATTGAGAGGGTTTTCCCACGTAAATAATTCTCTGTGTCCTTGTGTTTGTTGCTGCCATTTGTTATTGTTGTTACTCCTCACAGGTTCTTGCAAGTTTGGGGAATTGTTTCCGCTGCTCACTTTAGATAATTGTGTTCTTGTGTTTGGTTTTCCCCAACAGATACTTCACCCAGGTTGCAGAAAAAGTAGTCAAGAGAGTTTGAATACTATGCTAATGGCGGGAGGATTAGCAGGGGTAGTGAGTTGGGTTTTTAGCTACCCTTTAGACGTTATAAAGACAAGAATGCAAGCTCAGACATCATGCACTTCGCTGAAATACAAGGGCATTTTGGATTGCCTTCAAAAGAGCGTTCAAGAGGATGGATACGTCGTGCTGTGGAGGGGTTTAGGAACTGCGGTTGCTAGAGCGTTTGTCGTCAACGGTGCTGTATTTTCTGCTTATGAGATCTCTTTAAGGTGTCTGTTTCACAACTCAAGCATCCAAACGTAGGAAACGATTGTTTTGAGGTAGACATGATAATGGGATACCACATCTCAGCTATTCATAATCAATACCATCTCTCATATTTTATTATCAAACAGTGGAATGAATTTCATGTCTCATATTTGATAATCAATATCGTTACTTGATTGTATTTTTTCTACCTTTAATTTAAATTATGTTTGATTTTGATTTATAACTTTTTTAAAATTAATTAATTTTTTTAAATCATATAAATTAGTCTTTATCAAGTTTTTTTCACTAAAAATTCATTAATTAAAATATCAAAATTATCTCCATATAAAATTGAATCTCACATATTATAAAATTATTTAAATTTTATCTAAACTTTTTTCCCTTTCTAAAACACTTTTGTTGAAATGAAAGAGGTTAATAAATAACTTCGACTATTCAATAAAACGTATCCTAGGCAAATAAAAAATAATAATGTATTTACTTATGTATATTAAACCTGTGTGATGGACAAATTCTTGCCGATTAGGTTCAATTGACTGAGCAACTTTAGGACTCACTTTAGTATGAAATTATGCTGAGCTTTTGTTATGAACGTTTTTGTAAATAATGTCAGTTCTCTAATTTATCCATCTGTTCCCCCCTCCCCCACTTCTTGGTCAACGAACTTGGGGCTTCAGAATATTGGGCCTTTTCAATGGGCTTAACTCTAGTGAGCCCAATCATCCATGAAAAATGATGCATTGCAGATTCATCTAACGCAAAGCACATCTCCCTAACCTCCTCCACTTGAGGGAGCTTTTTGCTTTAAAATTATAAATAAAAACAGAGAAAAAAAGCAACGAGCGTCCGGCACCAAAAGAAGGAGAGAGGGCCGTAAACGCTGGGCCCGTGGGCCCAAACACAAGCACGGTGCCGCGCCGCAAATTGTTATGTTTACGTTGCCATCACATTGCAAACCCAACCCAGAATGGACGCCAGGTGGCACGACATTTTAAAAGCTCTGAGAATTTTTGAATGTGAAGCCAAGCGCGCCACGATAAATAGACAAAAGGCAGCGGTGGTCCCCACCCATGTGGGACGGGACAAGTTCAAAAAACCACAGGGCCTACCCTAACCCCCGATACTACGTCGTCGTTTCCCTAGTTGAAGAGTGTCGCACGTGCCAGGCAGAGACGCTCTTCAAAAAATTTCAAAGCCTTCCTTCATTACATTACATTACATTACACTACTCTTGCTGTCGTTTGTATCGTATCTATTCGTTCCTTCTTATTCCTATATCTTCGGTTTCACTCCATTCTACTTCATCAGCTTTCTCACTCTCTTCCGTTTCCGATCTGATCGCACGGCACGGGAAGATGAACGGTGCAGGGAGACAGGGGCTGAGATCTGGTGCCACGGGGGTGCACCACCAGCGCCAGCACTCCGACAACTTTCTCGACGGCTCCTCCAACGGCAACAGATGGCTCCAGTCGGCTGGCCTTCAACATCTCCAATCATCCGCCAATCCCATTCCTCCGCTTCAGGTTCTCTTCTTAATCTCTGATCTCAATATCTTCTCTCCTTTCCCTTCTCCGATTGTAGTCCTGTCATCCACTGTTGTGCATACGAATTTTGATCCGATTTGATGAGATTCTTCGTGTTTGAAATGTGAGCAGGACTATAACATGTACGGCGGTGGCGGTGGAGCGCAGGGAGGAAGAATGTACAGGAATGCGCCGCAGAGGGGCTTCAATGGAGGAACTGAGTATTACGTGGAGCCATCCACGCCTCCCGGCGGTTACCGTGCCTCGACGCAGAAAAAAAATGGTGAAGATTCGCCCGGCGATTTCAGCCCCGGCTTGTTGGATCTGCATTCATTCGACACTGAGCTTCTTCCCGAGGTTATTATTTTCTATGACAGATGAGCTTCCATTTGATTTCCGAGCTTTGTTGTTCTAAAAGTATCTTTTCATCCTGTGAATAACGGTCACATTGTATCTTTTGAAAGGTCACGGCTATAAAAAATTTCTGTTTCGTTGACCGTCTAGCCTTTGGAAGTATTCATAATTTGAGTTGATGTTTAGTCCTAGTGGAAAATCGTTACATCAGCCTCAACAGATCCTAAGCTCTAAATTTGAACATGCGTTTGGACTTTGTGTTTTTAATTTATTCATTCCTTTGCATATTATATTTCATCCGAGGATTAAAAGCCTTTCCTCAATTTAGATATTATTGTTGATTTCTTTACCTGTATGCGATGATAATTGCATTTTCAAGTTGATCATATATGTGCATAAAATCCTAAGCTGATCTGTTTTTAACTAGGATGGCTGATCTCTTCTTTTGTCTTTGTAAGTAGATGCACGTGAAAAGGTAGCTTAAATTTTCTTCTAATTTCGTCTATCCTGTTAGATGCCAGCCTCCAATGCATATGATGCCAATGCTCTGTTTCAACCTGGCCGGGGTAGAAGCTTTGATGACTCTGAACCTTACATGTTGAGCAAACAGACTGGCAGAGCTCGTGCTCCTGAAAACATATTGAAAAGTTTTCCTGCAGACAAAGAGAAATCTAATACTGTGGCAAAGATTAAAGTTGTGGTATGTTCTTTTGCATATCTCTATTTGCCATTCATGTTTTATTTAAAATGCTTTTGCTGACTATGAGTAAATTTGAATTGTATTTTCTAAAAATGGATGTTAAATCTTGTCTAATTGTGGACAGCATTGCTTTTTAGTTTTGTTATAATATTGTCTTGCTACTTTTTAATGCAGGTTCGTAAGAGACCAATGAACAAGAAGGAATTAACAAAGAATGAGGAAGACATTATAGAAACATATTCCAATTCTTTAACAGTTCATGAAACTAAATTAAAGGTAAGTTTAAGAGGCAGCTGCAATCAATGGTTCCTACTTCCAATGCAGTATAACTATCCTTTGGTTTGAGAATAAAAGCTGAATTTGCTGAAATTTACTCATTAACAAAAAAATCAAGGGTGGTGCTGGCTATGTAACTGATATCTCCAAATTTTTCTCTTGGTGAATCTGAGATGAGTGACCTGAAAGCAATATAGATAATATGTACAGAATCAAAAGAGAAAAAGACAAGTGATCCTATAATATGTTGAGTGTAATTGTCTGTACTCTTAGCCACTAATTTCATCACTTGTCAGCTCTTAAGGTATGATAATCTAATAGACATTTTGTATTCAAAATTATATGCTTTACAGGTCGATCTAACTCAGTATGTAGAGAAGCATGAATTTGTTTTTGATGCTGTTTTGAATGAAGAGGTTACAAATGATGAGGTAACTATAATGTACTTACATGTTCAGATAAAAAGAATGCTTGACAACATATGTGATGAATCCTTACTTATGTAACTTTTTTTTTAAAAAAAATCTTTAGGTGTATCGTGAAACGGTAGAGCCCATAGTTCCAATAATCTTTGAACGCACTAAGGCAACTTGCTTTGCATATGGGCAAACAGGTGATACTGTGATAGCAATCTCTGAAGTTTGATTTTGTGGCTATTACAACTTGCCTGAAGACAAATTCTGATTTTATGCCTATTTGATATGTAATATTTCCACTTCATATCATATATCTCTTTGAAACATTGCAATATTTCTTTGCACTTTCTTGAGTTTAAGTTTCGACCATGATCTGTGAGGATATAGGTTTATTTATTGCCTGTCATTTAGTTTGTGTCTCATGAATTTGTGATTGATATTCCCAAATGTTTTCATTGGTGCTTACATTGTTTTGCGTCAAAGCTGAATTCTTGAGTCTTGTAAAGATAAATTTAGATTCTGAACTGCCAATATTTCATGCCAACTAGATGTCAATGATTTGAACTATGAGTGAACTTCTAAATACTATTGTCATATTTTTCTAGGAAGTGGAAAAACTTACACAATGAAGCCACTGCCACTTAAAGCATCAAGGGACATCCTTAGATTGATGCATCATACTTACAGGAATCAGGGATTTCAATTGTTTGTGAGTTTCTTTGAAATATATGGTGGGAAGCTCTTTGATCTCCTTAATGATCGAAAGTAAGTCAAACTCCTTCTTCTTTGCATCTGTAAACTCTCTGTTCTTGAGATTTAATGTTTTATTGCTGCAGAAAACTTTGTATGAGAGAGGATGGTAAGCAGCAAGTTTGCATTGTGGGTTTGCAAGAGTACCGTGTATCAGATGTGGAGAATATCAAAGAACTGATTGAGAGAGGAAGTTCCACAAGAAGTACAGGCACCACGGGTGCAAACGAGGAATCTTCACGGTCACATGCAATCCTTCAGCTTGCTATCAAGAGATCAATTGATGGCAATGAATCCAAACCTCCTCGTTTGGTTGGCAAGCTCTCCTTCATAGATCTTGCTGGAAGCGAACGTGGAGCAGATACTACAGATAATGACAAACAGACAAGGTATGATTGAGCTTGAATTGTTTAGGATGGATTTATATTTTTACTTACCCAAGTTAAAAGAGCACCTACGAATGGGAAAATTAATTAGGAATCTAAATTAGACTAGACTGGACTACAAATTTAGCCATATGCTTTATTATTAAGGATATCTCAGATTTGGGATGCTATCATGAATAGTAAGCATCCCTCATTCATTCCAATTGTCGTCTAATGGTTTTATTTTTTTTGGCTTTGACATTTGTTTCCAATTTTATGATGATGATTCAGGATTGAAGGTGCTGAAATCAATAAGAGCTTACTTGCCCTAAAGGAATGCATAAGAGCTCTTGATAATGACCAAGGACACATCCCTTTCAGAGGCAGTAAACTGACTGAAGTTTTGAGGGATTCATTTGTTGGCAATTCCCGCACTGTTATGATATCATGCATATCACCAAGCTCTGGTTCATGCGAACATACACTGAACACATTAAGATATGCAGACAGGTAACGGTGAATTTTCTGTTAAATGTAGTTCTGTAACTGTATCCCCTACTCCTTCCAGCAACCCACACCATGCATCATACAAACACACTACACAATGCAACCAATGATGTGCACAAAAGGATAAAGAAATTTCATAGTTTTACTGTTACAAACCAGGGTAAAAAGCCTATCAAAAGGAAACACTTCAAAGAAAGATGTTTTATCATCAAATTTCAACCTTAAAGAATCAACTGCCGTTCCCTTGTCTTCTGTTACTGGATTGGCCTATGAGGATCGCCCAACTGATGCATGGAATGATGAGAATGAAGGGGATGATTTTAGCCCCCCTGAAGAGTATTATGAGCAGGTGAAACCATCATTGAAGAAAAATGGAAAGATGGAGTTATATGCTGCAACTGATGACAAATTGAAGAAACAAAGTGGTCAGATCAAATGGAAGGACCTCCCGAAAGTTGATCCTCAAATCACACATAATGAGGATGATTTAAATGCCCTCTTACAGGTAAGGTGTCGGCTACTGAGATAATGGTTATGTGAAAAACCCAGGACTCATCTTTACTGAAAGCATATGTCATCATTATTTCAGGAAGAAGAGGACCTTGTAAATGCTCACCGTACCCAAGTGGAAGAGACCATGAACATTGTTAGAGAGGTATTTAAACTTTCTATATTATTATTCTGTCATTTCATTTATTCTTTTAAGGAACTAGGCCATGTGTCTCAATCCCTCAACCTTCAAATTATTTGACTAGTTGTGTAGTGGTTTTAATATAGATAGCGAGTCACCTGAAACATGGCAAGTTCTTTTTGTAATTATTTTTATTAATATTTAGTGTTGGCTCTTAATTAGTGAATTTGATGAGAATGGTGAGTACTTAAAAGATTCTTTTGATAGATAGCAGAAACAATAATTGTGCACATATTGTCATCAAGCACATTGATAGTCTATACACACAAACTTCAATTTGTTGATTCTCCTACTGAATCTTGCTCACAGTTTCAGTATTATTGATTCTAGGAATAATTAAAATGTCCTAGGACAGAGAAAAATGGATTCCTTCACACTACCCTTGGATTGCATCCTTCTAAGCAACGGTGCAAAGTGCATTTCTAATGTTTATTCCTTTTATCTGCACTTGAAATGCAGGAGATGAACCTCCTGGTTGAAGCAGATCAACCAGGGAATCAGCTGGATGATTATATAACAAGACTAAATGCCATTCTTTCTCAGAAGGCTGCTGGCATCCTGCAGCTGCAAACCCGTTTAGCTCATTTTCAGAAACGTTTAAAGGAGCACAATGTTTTGGTTTCATCTACTGGATACTAATATCATTTAAAACAGATTCGCTGGTGAAAGTGTTTCAATCCTGTGGTTGAGATCGTGTATTTGTGTGATTCAGCCTGGAGATTATGTGAGATCTGGGATACGATGTGACACTCATAATAGTCGATTCATCTATTATTTTGTGCCTTGGCTATTCTCCTCGGGATCAGAAACTGGAGTTTGGAGTCTTCATTTTTTTTTCTTTACCCGACCAAGAATGTAGACATGTATTGGTTTTACTTGCCTCTGTCGAGGCAATGTATCAATGTATAAAGCGCTCTCTTGTTAGAAATTTAATATAAAAACCATTTATTGTCTTCACTTATTTAAACTTTTTGGGATGTTTGGTTCATGACAGTATCAGAGCCTCAACGAGACTATGACTATGACTATAAAAAGTTAAATTTCAATGGTAGGTAGGTGGGTGGGCCCCCTGTATGTAGGCTCGTGAACGACCTCAAAAGACTCGGGTGGAGGGAATGTGTTAGAAATATATTATAAAACTGTTCATGTGCTTTCATCTAATAACTCAAGTCTTTGGGATATTTGGTGTACGAAAAAACTGATGTTTGATTTATCAATGGAGTAGTTCTTTTTTCTTGATGAGTAGTTTCCTAACTTACTTATTCTGCAATGGGTTGTCTGTGTGTGAATGATTCAGTTCATATAATTGTAATTCACGTTATAGACACCACCTGTTGTAAATAAATCGTGGTTTGCAATTCTAAAAGTATTGCTGCGACTATGTAATTATAGCTCTTTAGCCTTTATCGCAATGAAATTATGGTTATTAGCCACTAGTGTGTGGAAATGAGCCGCCAAATATTCTGCTTTTTCCAACGTGTTACGTTTATAATTCATGATGAAAGGAATCATTTAGTAACTACAGTGGCGCGAAAGAATTAATGCGGCACGGATTAAGTAAAATACGATTTTTTTTGTTCAACAAAGAAAGACGAGACTTCAGGTTTTTTTTTTTTGTTAAAGGAAAATACCAGACTTAAGGAGGTGAAAATGACAACATTGTTGTAGATGGGCCATTCAGAAGATTATGACCTTAATAATGATGTAGATTCTTGTTAACACTCGAAAACTTTTATAAAATGTCTATACATTGAAAATGATTTTATTATTTAAATTACTAAAAATTGATATTGTACGTAATTTCATATACTTTTTTTTAATCTTTTTTTGGTTTTTATCCTTTTTAGATACATGCATATAGAAAATACAATCTAAATATTAAAGATATATTTATAGATGTGTACTCTTAGCAGTGCACAGCATTTTTCCGTTTGAAAGAGTATAGTTAGGAAATAGACTTTAATTTTACAATGTATTTTATTTTGAAATTTGATTTGATTGTCTATTTTTTATTAAAAAAAAAATGTTAAATCGATCATTTCCCAGGAGCGTCTGAATAAACCAAGATTCGGCAACAAAACAATGTGAATCCAAGAGCGTCTGAATCACTCTTTCATGTTTTGTATTTAAATAATCATTACAGATTGAATGAATTTGTGTGACATCGAAACAAAATTTGAAATCCTGTTAAGATCCAATCATCTTTGAGAAAGAAACCGTATTCTTAAAGAAAGTTTCAAAATTGGGAAAATTGACAAACAGAGTGTACATTGCGGAATGGAAAATATAGATTCAATCCTGTATTGAAATAACCAGAAAATAATGAAGGGTGTAAATTGCGGGAATTCACACCAAACAAACTCAAATCGTTCAGCAGCACACTGGAAGATGAAAACTGAGAGACACAACATAGAGAAACAAAACATGTTTCATATACAACAAAACATTCTTTGCGTTAAGATGAACTTATCTACAACCTGACAGATCCAATTCTTCCCTTTGACTTTGAGCGTTTGATTCTGACTGAGGACTGAGGAACCGCGAAATCTGAGTGTATGTCGGTGAAAAACTTGTCCACAATATCTAAATAAACAGGACTTGTAAGGCGAGAATAGTAGTGGAGTGCCTCTTCAACGTCTAGCACGTGCTCAACATCACTCGAATCCATCATCTCCAATTCCTTCATCTTTTGTGCTAAATCATGAGCCCCCTCATTCATGCTTTTTGAATTCAAGATTTCCTTCTTTCCAACTTGAGAGTTCCCTTTGCTTTTCTTCTCTTCTGCTCCATCTTCAGGAATGCTCTTTTGTGGACTTTGCTTGGGAAATCCCGTGAGGCTTTCAGCATTTGCAGCATGTTCCATTGCTTGCACTCTTACCCTGCTCATGCTATTGTCATCAGTCCTCTTTATTCTGTTCAGATCAGACTGCAGTATGTCATAAAACTCATTGTAAAATTGATCGCTTGTGTAAGTTCTTGCATTGCAACTGCGACCGAGGAATGGATTGAAGGAAAGAGATCTGGGTAGTTTGCGGTACCCTCCAAAGATTAAAGACTTGAAGTTTCGGAGGGTCTTGTGGAATAAAAGTTTGGTCTTGCGAATGGTTTCTCTAAGCAGCATTTGTGGTTATAACGTGAAAAGGCAAGATTTTCTTCTAATGTCTTCTAGAGCAGACACAGTGTTAATCTGCTCTAGTTCTTGTGTGTTCTACAATTTTGTCCTGATTCAGGTTTGCATATAAAGAGAGGTGCAGATGGTAACTATTCCCAAGGTTGCCAAAAGAGAAAAACAATTATGCTCTAAAGGGTTCTGTTTTCTCTGTCTAGGTTTCAATTCAACTCTACCTTTTTGTCTACGGCATCCCATGCTCTCTGTCCCTTTCAGACCTTCTGTCTCTCTATGCATGAAAGCTCAAAGCTTGTGAACATATGATAATCTGATAATTTTCATATCTGAGGGCCAAAGAACTTTAGGGTCCCAATTTGCCCGCTGATCTATTGGTTGTTCCTCTTTGAGTTAAAGATAATTGAAGAAAAGGGTTCAAGTTTATAGACTTTAGAATCTAAATTATCACAAATATTGTATTGATTTTGACTACGTGCTGTTTAAAGTGCAGAGGCATTGATTAAGATGCAAAGCTAAAGGTGGTGGGTGGCTAAAAGATTATAACAGAAACTCGCGTACCTACTTCTTGTTAACCAAATTTGAAACCTTAGGACCACTAAATCATATAGTCCTTAATGATTCTTTCGGAGGTCACCTTTTATAGAGCAAATTTGTGTTAGGAGCTACACTGATAGTAATTACTTAAAGCGCCTCCAATGCACCATATTTAACAAAAAATTCACCATGGGACAATGAGAAGAATTAGTAGCTGCGATGCAAAATGGCTTCAAATCCAAACTATATGGAATTGACGGAGGGGAAGAGGTGCATGGTCCCCATGTATAGTGAAGATAAGAAGGTGAGGTGCATTTCATTTGCTACACTAACACTGGGAGGTCACTATCGGACACATGGCAGCGTTCAAGTCCTCCACCCACCTCTGTCCCAAACTATATGGAATATTAAAGAAGGGACATAAACCTATTCAAATTTCGTTACTTTGGTGCCTGTACCATGTACCTCACCCACACTAAATTAATCTGCATCATATAATCAGACTAATGCTAGCAATACAGTCTATTTTACTTTTTTTTTATTATTAGTTATAATTTATTAAAAATTATAAAAGTATGAAAGGAAAATATTAATTGTGATTTTTTTATATTTTAATGTTAATTTATATATTTTTAAATAATTTCCAAAAGAACTTGTTAATTGTTTTTATGTTTTTTTCTCTAGAAGTAGCCCAATAAATTACTAAGGTGCTCCAATTGTTTTTAATTATTTTCAGCGGCGAAAACAATTTCAAATTGACCTTTGGGGGCCTGAGTGTATAATGGGCTTCAAGGAAGGTCGTTACAGCGGAAAACCATTTTGAAAAGCCCAGTGAAGAGCCGTCAACTGATTTATTTCCATTGGTACCCCTAAACTTCGTAACCCTAAACCCCTTTCTTTGAACTGAAGGGAACATATATAAATACTAATCTCCACGCCGCTACGTCTTCTTCAGCCACATAGCTCCTTCGCTGCATCGTTAGGGTTTTGCATCTGCTTCAATGGTACTACCACTTCTCATTCTCTATTTGTATGTTATTCGATACCATGTTTGTTCTCCATGTTGGAGGGTGCATGGTGGTGTTGTGATTTTGACGAGTGTGTGTGATTGGAACGCAGGGGAAGGGGACAGGGAGCTTTGGTAAGAGGAGGAACAAGACCCACACACTCTGTGTGAGGTGCGGCCGCCGCAGCTTCCACCTTCAGAAGAGTCGCTGCGCCGCCTGTGCTTTCCCCGCCGCACGCAAGAGGAAATGTAACTCCTTATTTCCTTAGCCATCGATCATTCTGCTTCCTAATTAGTGTTTTTGTTTGATATAATTACCTTGATAATGATTAACGATGTCAGATAACTGGAGCGTCAAGGCAATCCGCAGAAAGACCACCGGAACCGGTAGGATGAGGTACTTGCGTAATGTGCCTCGCCGATTCAAGAGCGGTTTCAGAGAAGGTATTTTTAACATTTTCTATTGTATCATACCCTACTCAGATTTTTAATACTGTTGGCCATCATTTTATTAATATAATTTTTTTTGTGTTGGATTTTCAATAGGTACTGAAGCTGCACCTAGGAAGAAGGGAGCTGCTGCTACTGCGTAAGCCTTTGGAAGGGTACGAATTATAGGATTAGATTGTTTTTTTTATGCTGGGGCAGCTATCGTGGAACACTTGTTGTTATAGTCTCATTGTTTTTTGGTCCCATTTAATTTGTAGTTGCTTTATATTTCAACAAGATATAAGACCTTTTGATTGTTCAGTTGGATTGGCATTTACAGTTTATGTTTTAATTGGTTTTTGATTGATGAATAGACACCCCCTTGTCCGCTATACTATTCTAGGTTTGTATCAGGAATTTGCGATAGTGATAACAAGAGATCTATAATTAGTTATGGGAAGGTAGGTTGGGTAACCTGGTTTGCTTCTACCTTTATTATTCGATGATTGCACCAAAATTTTTTATTTCACATGTCCTGATTTTTTTTCTATATACGGTCGAGATAGATAATGAGTAGCGGAAGAACATGATTCTCTTGTTAATATGCCTAAAGTCAAGGGAAGTTTTTGGGCTGTGTATAATGATGACTGGTTAGCGTAATACGAGGAATTGTTGGATATATTCATTTGATTAGAGCCTTGAATATGAGTGCCAATTAAGTCTTTGGAGAACATAGGATGTGAATTTACAGCGCTGTTGTTGTAACGTATCTTGATTCCTTCATTTTTAGAGGCTCTGTTTCAGAAGTATGAAAATTTCCCCATCCTAGTATTTTTTCTTATTATTTGGATTTGCTTTGCAGAACCTAAGTTTTTGAATGTTGTTGGACGTCATGTTCAATTGATGCATATCACCGTTTTGGGTCTTAATGTTCACTTGTAAACTCAAGATAACTCAAAATCATTTTGGTTCTTTATCACTGTTCTTGAATAACTGAAGTTCTCTATTATTTTCGTTAGTAGCTGCAATTTACTCGTTCCATGTTCAAGTTGTTGTGTGACCTAAAAATTTTTCATCCGATGTACGTTGAAATAAATGAATTAACACCAAACTAAGGTACGTTAAGAGAAATTTCAGGTTTGTATCGTTCGTACTACTTAAATATCGACCGACTTTGCCTTGTGTCAAACAGAAGATTTATTGATCTGACTGATGTTTCTTCTATTGCAAATTAGTACCCTGTTCAAATTTGTCTGTAGTTAATTTGCAAGTATTGGGAAATTCTAGTAGTAGGATGGTTAGATTCCGCCACCTGTTCATAATGAAAACGTGTTAGTTTTTTTGTACTGCAGTTAGAGATGGATATTTTATGGCAAAGCATTCAACGAATGCGAGAAATTCGACTCACTACATCGTTTGATCTCTGCTATTTTGGAATTGTTTAAGAGTGGGCCTTACTTCAACCAGGGCACATTTATGTAGACAAGTAGACATGATAAAATTTAGCAAGTAAATAATTGGTTATCAATGTCAATTTCAGAATTCAGACATGGTAACCCCGAGAAACATTATGTAATGTTGTTAAATTAGGTTGAAAACAGAAAGATGAGCCACAATAAAAACAAATTATATGGATTTTTGGTTAAAAATTTATTTAAAAATCTTTTTTCTTTTCTCGATTGACGAAGTTGGTCATTTCTCAGCAGCAAACTACTTAATCACTCATTGATAGTATACATTAATCATAAAGGAACTGAGAAGAAACACAAGAAATAATCAGATTAAAATCATGCAGGCAACAAGGAACAGTTTGCCCCAGCGTAGCTAACCCATCTACAACTGAATCATCCTCGCTCAAAACATGCTGCCAAGTTCCATCATTATTAATATTTAGGGACACGTTTGCTTAACAAAATTCTGCCCGCAAGACGAGCAATACATGCAAATGCAATAACACTGGCAACCCAGTGATCATGGACCTACAAGAAGCTACAGATGATCTAGTTAGGGATCCATCACTATTAATTTAGGTACACGTTGAATATGAATTTAAAGCCTTGTATCTAATAGCATTGAAATAAGTGTGTATCTATAACCATTTAAACGCAAAACCGAACATGCTTACAGTGTTCCTGGTGCACTAAAAAGAGGACTTTTTTGGTAGTCTTCTGCCACTGAGCAGAGTCGACCGTTCCATATTCCTTAATTATTCATTTAACCCCCAGTCACCATTCTGCAAAGATTTTTCATAACATACCGTATCGGTAAGATCTTTTGCACAAGAGCAAACTTGTTTCTTTCCTTCCAAATTATGTCAATGGCTATGCCAAAAAGAAGGCTCCAGTCATGTTTATCATATCTCCCAAGCCACTAACTTACATCCAACATCCATTGCTGCAAATCTAAGAAAAGAACCAGTTTCCATTCTTATAATATTGCTGAGTTGCAGAGTTGGTCTTGTTCCTGCACCATTGCAATGTCACACTAATATTTTCAATGTTATCAATACTTTCCTTTTTAATAACATTTTACACACTATTTTGTTATAATTGATGTTAATAAAAATTAAATATTGATTAAAATATTATATATATATATCCTCATATTTGATAATTAGTTGTAGGAAAATTATTGATTTGTTTTCATACAAAAATTTATAAGATGTATGACTACGCATGAAAAAAATAGTATGTGTAAGAATTATTTCATCTTTGAGACCGAAGAATCAAATTTATAATATAAAAGAGATAGTTAATAAAAAAATTATTACATGATAACTGTTTCTTACAATTTTAAAAATAGTTCAAACATATATATTTAAAAACGGGTGAGATCCATAAATCTCTTTGTTTTGTGGTTGTTACTCCTGCAAATTCCACTTATCAGCCAAGGGCTCTATATTTCTATAAATCAAAATATTAATGAAATGAAAACAATATTTAAGGAAAAACCAATTAAAATACATAAACTAAGTTGGTTTTGTTTAGAAAGGGCGAAAAATGGTATTTAGCTAACTTAAAAAATAATTTTCTTAACACTTTTAATACTTTTTTTCTCTGGATTTCTTTTCGTTACAAATATGATTTTTTCTATTGACATCTTTCTCTTAAATTATAAAATTTACTCACTAGTAACAGTAAGAAATGAAAGAGTGATAGTATATTAGGACATCCTTGGCTGACGTTATTCAATGAAGTTGCACTACTGATGCATTATTTCAAAAATGATTAACGCTAATTTCTTAAAATTTAATATTTTAATAATATTTTCTTTGCTTTGCATTATTCAAGTTTGACGAATGAGGACGGACAGACGCACATGGGAATGGGATGGAAAAGTGACATTACAAACCAACTACCCTCCCAAACCCAATGCCTTCTTTTATTGACTCTTATTTTAGTGAAACGAGCAGCTCGTGCTTTTCGGGTAATTGTCTTCCTGAAAATTAAATGTCTAATTTTTTGTTTAATCAAACTTTAAATTTATTTAAACCAATTTCTTATATTCTCTTTTAATATTTTCATTTTTTTATACAATATTTTTTTTAATCATCTTTCTCCTCAAATACTTTTCTCTCTTTTTCCTGCGTCCTTTATTTTATTGATTGCACCGTCCACACTCGCTTTCCACCTCTTCTGCTTTTTTTTGTTTTTATGAAAAGAAATTAGTTATACACAAAAATGTGTAAAAAAGATAATTTTTATGTTCATAATAAAATCACTTCAAGAAAGCAAACATAAGATTTGAATATAATCTTATTATTGTTAAATTTTACGTGAAAGAAACAATTCACGACTATTTACACACGCATAAAATTTATATAAATAATATAATTCATTTTGTTTTACCAATGAAAGAGACATTATAACCATAATTAAAATAACATACTTTTATATTTTATACTAATTTTTATTGCATTTATCTTTTTATCATGTTATTTATTTATTTTTCTGGCAACATTACATATTTGGTTCCGAGTCTCACTTTCTTAAACAATCGATGAAATCGCAAGGACTCGAACATTGCCTTCCAAGCTTTCATGTCGAAAATCCCATATAACTACCAAACTAGAAACACGTACATATATTCCCAATTCCCATTTTGGTTTTGAAAAGCTGCATCTTCAACTTCAGATTTGTCCAAATATTACAGTTTTTTCTCTGCATTTTTTCACACTCTAAAGATGGCTGCTACACGCAGTGGGAAAAATAAGCTAATGAGTGGGGAATCACCCGTAGAGAATAAAAAGGGACTGTAGCACTTTCGGAAATATCTCAACCAGAGTCTCCAATAATAACTCATTCCACTTTGTCATCATTACATATCCTCGTAATATGTCGGGTAGGGGGGATAAAGTAATGATTTTTATTTTTCAAACCAAATTCATAGCAACTTTTAATGCTTTTTTTTTTCTGTCAACAAACCCCCTTCAATGTAAAAGACTTCCTATTGACTAACACTGTCATTTGCATTACACACTTACACCTAAACCGGTTAAGAACATAAATTAAAATCAACCTAGTATTTATACATGACAGTAAATTATTAAAACAATTATACCCCAATAAAAAAAATGAACTTCAGAGTAAAAAATAATACACTCTGTTATCATTCTTTTAGTTTCTTTAACATTATTTTATCTTACGTAAACTTTTGACTGGACGATGTTATTATTAAGAATTAAAAGTATTTAAACTTTTTTATAATTTTTTATTTTCGATTATATATATATATATAGGAGGATATACTTGAATTGAGAAAAAGGAAAGTGGAGAAGGGCGAAAAACGTAGGCATGAAGTGAGTAGCCAGAAAAGAGGCTAAAAAAGTAATAGAAATAGTGGCACTTTGTTTCCCACTTTCCTGTGTCAGAGCAGAGCAGAGCAGAGCAGAGCAGAGCAGAGCACTGAGCACTAAGCATAGCCTCATTCTTTTCAATTAGAAAACAAAAAACGTTCCAACTATATATGTGCTTGATTCATTCTTCATCACGAAAGCCTTGCCTTTATTCAACTTTCTTTTTAGTACACACAGTTCCTTTTCCTTATTATTTTCATCAGAGTTTAGAGGTATATACATGATGATGGCTGTGAATGGATCAGCACAGTGGTACGTGGGATTAGTTGCAACATCTATCACAATTACTCTTCTTTTAATCTCACCCTTTGTTTCTGCTCATCAAAATGATAAATATCCCACAACCGCGGAGACAAACGACACTAGTTATCTTGCTAAAGTCATCAACTTGTTATGGCGCTCTTCTGGATCAGGATACCAACATATTTGGCCAGTAAGTGCCATCCACTTCTACTATCTGTGTTTTTAGATCTTCTTCAACCAGAACTCTTCTCTCTCCGTTTTATCAATTTTATTCAACAATATTATAGGATAAATGTTTAAATAATAAAAATAATTTATGCATGATGGTGGGTGATTTACAGGATATGGAATTTGGGTGGAGAATTATAACAGGGACGATAATTGGATTTCTAGGATCTGCGTTCGGAACTGTGGGTGGTGTTGGTGGGGGTGGTATTTTTGTGACCATGCTTTCTCTCATTATTGGCTTTGATCCAAAATCAGCAACAGCAATCTCCAAGTGTAAGATGCATATTTCTCTCCAATTGTTCTTTTTCAATTATCCTCTTCACTATTCTATTTTCGTAGGAGATAATGTATAAGCGTATGGGGTCAGTACGACGAAGTAGAAATCACTGACAAAATCAATAATCTGCCATCTTACCATTATCTGAGCTGAAAGTTCTTTTATTTAACATTTTGTTCATCAACTTCTTTTTCCTGCTACACTAACTTGTGTCCTAAAATTTTCCTTATCCTTAACTTATCTTTATAAACTTTCAAACAGTTTTGATTAGTAATGGAAGAGTAATATGGCTAAAACTAAATTATCTATTTATCTTAAGTCTTGACTGCTCATTAATTTACTTTTTAATTACTTAATTTAAGCTTTAAAAGCTTTCTACAGCAACAAATGCAACATAAATAAATAATTATTTCATTTTCTTAGATTGTAGATTTCAATCGCTTTGGTATTGAATTTTATATAAAACAAACTCGCTTTAGTCTTTTAACTTTTTCCAAAATGACACGTTTTAGTTTGTCTTTTTTACTTTCGTTTTTACATTCGTTTTGTCTATTCGATTAGACGAAACATGAGCTAGTGGTTCAAATCATGTTTTGCCTTTTTTATTTGTCATTAAAAAGGAGAAGTTGAAAATTGGAAAATTGTGTTTTTTAAATCACACAATTCGAACTATAAATATAATATAAGTGGTGTACAAGCTATCACCACTTACATAAGCTCGTATTTTGTCTTTTTATTTTAGTCTAAGAGCTCGTATTTTTGTTAAATGGAATGGACAAAACATTCCTGTTCTCTTAAGGCCCACCATGACACCCACATAAAGCAATTTGAGTTCAGAGCTTAAGTGCTTATCATCATTGGTTGACACGAGAGAGAGAGAGAGAGAACTTGACAACATTACGATTCTTTTAAAAATTTATGACCGGCTATTTCTGTGGAGTGTTGTTTAAAAGGGAAGGGGAGGCCTTAAGAAGGATTAAACTTTATCTGTGTTGCTTAATTAGGAGGAAAATGGGTTGACTTTTTTTTTAACTTTTCAAAACTTTCTGAACTTTAGTTTTTTAAGTTATCCCCTTCTGTAGGATTTTATCTTATTCTCAACTAGAATTTTTAACCTTTTTTTTTTTTATTAAAAATGTTAGTTTTTTAAATGAATTTTTAAATATATATATATATATAAAAGTAAAAATATTAATTTTAAAATTATTAATTTTTAGAAGAAGAAAATATTTATTTTTTGAAAAAATAAAAAAATATAAATAAAAGATATAAAATATAACAATATTATTTATATAAATAAATTTTCAGTTATTTTCCTTTTCAATATTAAACATTCAAAAGAGAGAAAAAATTAATTTTATTTTTCTTTCCTTTTTCTTTCCTCCTTCTCCGGTCAAATTCTTCTTATCTCTTCTCTTTTAAACTCTTAAACAAAGTTTAAAACTCTTAAACAAAAAGCCTAAATATTTATATGGCAAAAAAAAAAAGAAAGATAAAATTCACTTTTATTTCAATTGATATTTCTAAGAATAATATTCTGGCTTGTGATAGTGAGTGTTCTATAAATATTAATTGAGTTACATTTAATTTTCTACATTAAATACTTTTGTTTTTATTTTTAAAACAATAAAAAAATTGAATTCTTTATATGCTTTATGTTGTTAACCACGTTGTTGTTAGGATCAAACCAATGTCTTGAATATAACTATAAGAGTTTTATTTTCAATTTTTAAATTGGTCAGTATATATGAAATTACACGTTATACTCGTGCAATAAATTTTATTGAATACTTTTAAACACTAAAATGTAAATATTTTCTCTGAATAATAATACGTTTTCTTATATTATTTTCCTAATAATCATCCTACCATTTATAAAAAAAAAAAAAACATTAAATAAAAAACAAATGTATTTAACATTTTGAAAATATAAAAATTCTCAACATTTTTCATTTAATAATTAAAAAATTATTTAGAAGGATGTTTATTTAGAATCATCCATTCTGAAAATAGAGAAATTTATTTATGATCATTGAAAAAGAGGTTTTTTTTTTCTCTTCCCAAAAAAACGAGAGGTACATGTCATCATATCCTTTGCACACAGGGCAAGAGTGTGCATGAGTCAATGTCTTTTATTTCTCAATATCATTATATATGATTGAATTCGCGCTTCTAAATCTATATTTACTTTAAAACTATCAATTATAACTTATGCGTTAGATACACGAGTACAATTCTAACAGTTTGATTGTCACCAAATTGCCAAATTCTAAAAATAAGATGTTTGCTTCTCACTAATGAGCTATAACTAATTTCATTTAAATATTAAGCCAGCTTTAATTAGGTAGCTGGTGTGAAAATTTTGTGTGGAATCTGAGTGTTATTGGTTTGATCAAAGGTATGATTACGGGTGGAGCAGCAGCAACAGTTTTCTATAATTTGAAGCAAAAACACCCAACACTTGACATGCCAGTGATCGACTATGACTTAGCACTTCTTTTCCAGCCAGCGCTGGTGCTTGGAATCAGCATTGGAGTTGCCTTCAATGTTATTTTTGCTGATTGGATGATAACAGTCTTGCTACTAATAATTTTCGTAGGCAAGAACTATTAAAAGGTTCATATTTCCTTATTTTCTTTTCTTTCCCTACCAATTATTTGACGTAGCTTGTATGCATGTATATAACAGGAATTGCAACCAAGGCATTCTTTAAAGGGGTTGAGACATGGAAAAAAGAAACCATTATTAAGAAGGTGTGTAAATTTTCACAAATCTTTTATATTGGAGTACTTATAAATTTGCTTCTTTTTTTTTTCCCTTCCTTTTAATGCATCTCACGTTATGATTTCAGGAATCTGCTAGACAGTCACAATTAAATGGTAAGTGGTCTACAAAATTTCTATGCTTTGTAATGTTTTCTTGATTACTAGTTAATCTTGCGCTTTCCAAAACTATGGTGCATTTCCAATCTAATTAGACACTGAAATGACAACAGAAGAAGCCGCATATGAGCCTCTACCGGGAGGCCCAATCAGAAGCAATCATACAGTGCCCACAAAAAAAAAAGAAACATTGAGACATGACAAGGTAGCAGCTTTCTACTTTCACTGATCATAATGACAATTTTATTCTTTGTGGGAATGGATACTTATCTATCATTGCCATGCAGGGGTCTCTTCTTGAGAATATTCGTTGGGGGGCACTTGGAATTCTTTTCACTGTCTGGGCCATTATACTAGTCTTAGAGATTGCAAAAGTTGGTATCTTATGAGCAGTTTCAATTCAGAATTTCCATTTTTCTTCTTTCTTTATGTCTACACAGAATGGTGATGAAATTTTGCCTTTGTTTTGAAACAGAGTCACACAACAACTTGTTCAGTGGAATATTGGGTATTTAATCTATTACAGGTACCATGAATACACTTCCTTGGAAATCAAATTTCATCATCTTGCATGTTTTTCTCTCCTAGACGGCATGGCCAAGAGTGTAGCACATAAGAGTTGCATTTGGTTCCAACTTCCATACTATTGATATATATATATATATATATATATATTTGGCTTGTTTTCAGATCCCTGTGGCATTAGGTGTGACTTCATCTCAAGCTGTGCTTTTATACAAAGGTAAGAGAGTGATATCATCCAAAGGAGATCAACAAACACAGTGGCGAGCGCACCAGTTAATTCTATGCTGTGCCTGTGGCATATCCGCTGGGATGGTTGGTGGCTTGCTTGGTCTTGGTGGAGGTTTTATTTTGGGACCCCTTTTCCTGGAGCTAGGAATCCCTCCACAGGTACCTTTCACCCTTTCATACAAGGCCTAGAATGGCGAATGAACAACTTAACTGAGTTTTTGTGTTGAGTCTGTTGACCCCTTTAATTGAATTTGTGACTGGGAATTTTCTATGTAGGTGTCAAGTGCTACAGCCACTTTTGCAATGACATTTTCTGCATCAATGTCAGTGGTGGAATATTACCTTCTTAAGCGTTTTCCTATTCCTTATAGTAAGTATGAATGAAGGGAAATGGAAGTAACAAAATTTAATGCCTTTAAACCAATTCAAATATTCACTTTCTGATTGCTTTGTAGCTCTTTACTTCGTGGCCGTATCCACTGTTGCGGCCATCGTTGGGCAATTTGTAGTGAGGAAGCTGGTTGCCTTATTAGGGAGAGCATCACTGATCATTTTCATCCTTTCTGGCACGATTTTTATTAGTGCAATATCACTAGGCAAGTGTCATTGATTTGTTTGTGGCTGCAAGCTCAGATTTTTGCAGTGATTTATTGCCTCATTTTTTTTTCTTTCCATTGCAGGTAGTGTGGGCATCGCAAATATGATCGCAAAAATTTCAAACAAAGAGTACATGGGATTTGAAGACCTTTGTACGTACACAGCCTAAATATTAGAATTCGAATTACGTATTCAATTTCAATTGAAGGAATACTTCATTGACATTTTTCAATTGTTTTTTTTTTTTTTCCAAATCAGACTTTTTGATAGATTTTTGTCAAGATTTTTATATAATGAAAATGCAGCACCTTTTTTTTTGTCAAACGTGTATCGTAGACTCAATTTCTTAAATGAATAATCACCATATCTCTTTAAGCTTTCTCCACAGTTTAAATGGTTTGTAGTTCTATAAAAAAACAAATATCCTCAAGTCTCTTCAACCTTCTCTCGGAGCTTTGTAAATTAGGTATTATTGTATAGCTTTGTATCAAGTAAGATTACAAGTTGGAGATAAGTGGACTCTAACCACTGACAAATAAATCCTCCTTCATGTATATTCATATACTAATTCAACTTTTTATGTGCCCTTCGGACTAAGGGTATATAGAATTTATGAAATCCTATTACATGACTTAACCTACTCATCACACAGCTCCTTCGTGGACCATCATAAATTTAATATAAATATAGTATCTCTTGAACAAGACATACATGCAAAATTGTTGATCTTTTAAGAGAAACACTGACAGATAATCTTCCCTCGTACTGCCATTTTGTATAATTGGAAAAGTGAGCAATGTAGTTGTCAAGAGTGGAGAGACAATAACCTTATAATACAATAGTCCCTCAAGTTTTCGCCTAGGACGGGTTCTAAATTATTTGGCCTTACATCATAATTTAGCATACTTACGTACTCATGAGAGCTGAAATGTACCTCTCCTTGGTGTTTGGAAACCGTATATGTAAAGGTATAACTAGCAATTTAACGGGAAAAAAAAAGAGCAACAAAAAATTCCATATGAAATATTATTTCTAGCTCCACAAGATACAATTGTTCACCAGGAGATATGCTTGATTTTGTTCAAACGTCACTTCAGCCCAATTTGGATTGCTTGCTGACTAATAAGTTTTTTTTTTTTAATAGTAAAGTCTTATGTTTAAGACATTTTTTAAGGCAAAACTATCAAAACTTCTTAAGTTTATAAGTATTTATGAAAAAAATTAAATAAAAGCACTTCGAAAACATTAAAATACACATTAATTTTAACATATATAAGAAATTTAATTTATTTTACTCCTTTTTATCTTTTTTTTTTCCTCTTCTCGTAATTACTTGTTAAAATGTTTATCAAAATTAACTAGCATTTTGGTTATCGTGTTTTCTTTTATTCTTCACAGCCTTATGAAACCAACCTTACAAAGCTTCAATATTAATTTTTCAGATCAAACTCTTGGTGTTTTATCAAATCCTGACGTTAAAGAACTATGTAAATAAGCGGTCAACTTAATCTGGAGACTCTTAATAATTGTGATGATCTTCATCGTTGGAGATGCCAAATTTTCGTTGGAAAATGAAACATGCAGTAACCGACAATATAACACATTAATGAGATCTGGCTCAGGCGCCCAATTGACACCACTGATTTCAGAGAATAGCTTGTCCACGGGTCACACACATGAATAGTTGAACATGCTTAATCTTACAGAGGTAGCTAATCTACAAAGAGACTTCGTTATAACACCACCCCCCGACCCCAAAAGAAAAAAACTAGGATATAATTAGACAGTAATGTCAATGGAACAACTTTAAGCTTGCATCTTGGAGGGGGCTTGTATGACTATGAGATTGAAATGGAAAAAGGTTGACCGGTACATTGTTTTAAGTATGTTCTTTTTAGTTCATTGCGGGCTGATAATTTGCATAGCTCTTTGCCATTTGGCAGAAAGTAATTCATAGAATAGAACCGAGTCAGACAACACAGACTAAGAGTGAGGGAAAAGAATTTTTTTTTTTTTTAAATGCTTACGCATGCCACCGTAATTTTTATTTTTTTTTCATAATGCTTTCTCTCTATATGGTTAAGTGTTTTTCTCTCAAAACTTTTTGACATGTTCTATAACTCATCTTTGACGACTTGATTCTTGACTTTTAGATGTTTGTTGATGGACGCAGCCAATTCTTTCAAACTAGATTTTGTAGAGAGCTTTATCTGCACAAAACAAGTGTTTCATTATAGTAAACGTCGTAAGTATATAAACCAAAATTCTATAGCCAATATCAGATTGTGTAGAAGTAATTACCGGATTTGTCTTGTCATTTGATCTGTATAGTAGAAGTGTGGGATAGTCATTCACCTGAAATATCAAGCAAAGGTACAACACATCTTCAGTAAACATAAGCATGGATCGTATCATCACGATGGAAAAACGAATAATCCTCAATAAAATCCTAGGATCTTAAATTTTCAGTAAAGATCCAGTGTGCGTTTTTCCATAAAGAAAATAGAGCCAATGAAGTATTTCATGAAACTTACTTGCAGTTTTGGATGTTCATTTGTTGAAGCATCTATCCTTGCAAATATTAGAGTACTTGATCCTTTGTAGTGCTTTGACAACTTATCTACTTGCTTGCTTATGGCATCACAATTGATACACCAAGGTGTAAATACCTGTTTCCGTCATGACTCGTGAGTGCAATCTGACCAAGGAATGGCCAATACAACAATCTTTTGGAAAAAAAAAACAAATCCCAAAGATGGGCCATCAATATTTTCAACAAATTTTGCACCACAAGTGTCATTGTTTATGTTAAGTGTATAAATTAATACATCAAAAAGTAAATTGGTAAGAAGTGGTGACTAAAAATGACTTTCAGATGACACCTTCAATAGGCATTAATTGCCCCATTTCCAAACAAACTAATGAAGTTTGAATGTATGACATAGAGAGAAAATATACAAGGGATAAAACTTTACAAACCTCCAGAAGCACATTCTTTGTGCTGCCCAAGATTTCGTCATCAAATGTTTTCCCGACAATAACATGGACACTAGCTTCCGTCTGCAATTTCCAATGCCATGAAAATTAATTGATGAAGACCTTGAATTAAGTTTCAAGACAAAAATAAATAAATTCTCTCTTTTATTGGCCTATTATATTATTATAACTATAGAGCAAGGTATATATCTTTAGAAATGATTTGAAAATACTTTATGCGTAGTTGAAATGGATTTGATTCACTTTGGTTTTAAAGAGCTAAACTAAAAGGACCACATATAACCCCGTCTGTGCAACTGATTTCTTAAATAGTCTCAAAAAGTAGGAGAGACACCTCACAAATGTAGGAAAATTATCTGGGGAATGTTAAATAGTACTTACATTATCTGGTATTGGCTGTGACTTGAAGTAAGGTGATAAAGAACCTTGAACAAGACTATTGCAGAACTCCTGCAGAATGCCATTTTAACATCAATTAGTCTTTTTCGGTAGGTGATCACTAGAAGGATAATTTACACAAACAGAAGAGAAGATAATACTTCAATATTGCTTCGTGTTGGTTTTGACTCCAACAAATATTTTGAGCTCATGCCATTATCAAATGCAGCTACCTTTTGGGCACACCAAGAAATAAATTGCATCAGTTGCCATGATTATCTAAACTAATAAACAATCAGAACAAACCATTGTCATTAACCAGCAAACTAACCACAGTATTTTTTGATTCTTCAAGACCAAACAAGGTTAAGAAGGGCTTTGCAAGGTTCTCATCATTAATATCCACATGTATAAACATTATCTGCATTTGAACAAAATTAGGCTAGAAGTTCTAAACATTTCAGGGAATGATTTGAAGAACCAAACTGTAGACCAAAGTAAACTACCTTTGACTTGAAAGTTCTTGCAACATCTTGAAGAGGATCAAGAAGATTCTTGAAGTCATCAGTGTTTGCGAAGACTAAAACCTAGAAGAAAAGGGGGGAAATAAGAAGACAATTTAACCTTGACTATTAGTAAGCTAGAATAGAAACATAAATGATTAGAAGTATCAAGGAGCAGCCCATACAGCCTGTAACAGGTTAGAGTTATAATTCATTAGCAACATAGAAAAGTCACTTGGTGATACATGGTTGGACTTGGAGTAAGTTTAGTATGTCCAGTACTGGCTTAGTTTCCATAATTTACCAAGAATTTCTAAAGTATTGTCTTTTATCCAAATTAAAGTTATTGAAAATGATCAAATTGTAGGGGAATATGCAAATCCACGTTCTGAACTAGTAATTCAGATTCTGCATAATAATTTTGCATGTACTCGATACATTCTGAAAAAGACATTCATTTCATTTACAAATACTCACATCAGTTTCAATTATAAATTATCAATCATCCAAGGGGCAATCAGCGCATGGCAAAGCAAATCAGAGATTATGAATTTGATAAGATAAAAGACTAGCTAGACGACCATCATGTCAACACTTATTACTGTTATTCAGTTTTTTTTTTTTTTTTTTTTTCATTCCACAAGTTTTAAATGCTGTTGTTTCTTTTTATTAGAACTAAGTGAAAAGATTTTTACAGCATATCTGTGTATTAAATTGATCAAGTAATTGTACTAACTAGATTGCATCATACTCACATCACTGTAATAGCAATTTAGAACTTTTTTTTGGTCCAAAGACCTAATAGTTTAAACCAACCACAATATCAAATAAACAACAGCTAGTTACTGTTCATAAAGCAAATCCATTAGCACAAAAATCAAAACAGAGATTACTGCAATCAATTCTGATGAATCCTGGAGATCTACTGAGTATTGACAAAAATATTTGAGTGTGGAATATCAGATGTAGAATTTAGAGCACTTTATATCTGGGGGTTATATACCAAAAGACAGACTAGGAACAGAACTGCATACCAAAAGACATATATCCCAGTAAAAGACAGTAGGAAGAGAACAGCATACCAAAAGAATATACAATGTAGATTAAACTTGGAAATAATAGTGACCTGAAGCTTGATGGGGCTGGAGTAGACTCTGATAGAATTCATTTCAGTCAGTTTTGTAACTAATGGAAATTTGTTCAAGTCTACAAACTCTAGTATTTTATTCATCGTTAAAGCTCCGTCTGCATAATCAGGAAGGTTTTGCATGTTGCTTTAGTAAGACCTCATCATTTGGTAAGATTGTTTGGGGGGGAAAACAGACAAATAGGTAAAAGGAAAAGTGCATGTTATACATTAACAAGCCTATAACGTGGTTCCACCAAATTTTAAATGCAAATATTCTACCCATCTCAAGTTAATAGAAAGAACAGGGGATTCAAGCTTGTCATCTCTGCATAGTCCTAATTAGCAGCAATTCAGCAAACATAAAATGATGCACTAATTATTTAAGTATAACCACTTTAAGTGATACACTATCAGTATCTGTTTTACTTCTACATTTAACGTAAAAACACTAAAAAGAACTCAACACATAGATGGAAACCAATAACAGACTCACCATATGCAGTGTATCTTTCAGGTTCGCTCTTAACAATTCCAAGAAAGCGATCAGTACCCTTGATATCTGGATAAAGAACTTGGGCAAGCTCTACCTTACTCACTTCAACAAACTGGGTTTCATTATCGGACTTTGCAGCACTCACAAATTCATCATAATCAGGTCCCTGCAATATGTCGAATGATAAACTCCACAACTCTCATTCATCTGTACCTCTTGTCAATTTGACACTTCTAATCTGATAGTCCTAGAATACCTTAAAACATAATGTCACTTACCTCAAATTTATCAAAGCGACCAATGAGAAACGTTTGATACTTTTTCAGAAACTCTTCTGCTTCAGCCACTGAACCAATCCGAATAACAAGTGTACCGGTCTTTTTTCTTGCCCATGTCACTATATCATCCCTGAAAAAGCATCATGAAAACAAGTTAAAATTATCAAGTGATTCAAGCACCTTCTAATTCACCGACAGTTCAACACATAGCTTTCAATGCATTGAGGACATTATTTCGGATAAACAAACAAATGCACCAAGCATATATCAGCAGCAGAAACCATTTTAAAATGTAGAATTGAGAGCAGAGGTGCACACAAAAACATAGAACATAGAGTAAGCTACTAATTATAAGTTAAGAGTAAGAGCATTTTACGCTGTGAAACCGCCAGAGTAGGGCTGAGAGGTGCCATTGACAAAGAGAAGCAAGGTGGGAAAGCCTTTGACTCCAAGAAACTTAGCAGGTTTGGGATACCTGTCAGCATCAAGTTTGGCCATGAGAAGAGGGGTTCCCAAATCCTTGAGAGAAGTTGCAGCCTCAGCAAAATGGGGCATAAGTTCAGCACTCCTGGGACACCAAGGTGCATACCCCAGAACCAAAACAAACTCATTTCCATTAACAACCCTCTCTGTGTTGTCATTGTTCAGCTCAAGAACGATCCTTTGAGCTTTGGTTAAAACCTCTGCTTCGGATAACTTCACGCCACCCCCTTCAGCTTCCTGCTCCACTTCATCGTCAACTGCTAACAATTCCTCCAAATCATCCTCGTCTTTGTCGCCAGGGACAGCCTCGGAACCTTCTGTGACAACGTTAAAACTCAGTACTAGGAGGATGAGCAAGAGATAGATGAATCTTAAAGTGGGCTTCCTTGTAGACATGTTGTGTTGCCTACTAGACCTGATTCGGGGTTAAGATCTGATGGTTGTGAAAAGTTTATAAATTTGGGGAAGATCTCATTCAAAGTGGCATTGGCACGAGAGTGAAGATGAGTGTGAAATGAAATGAGGTGCGGAGGAGAGAGAATGTGTAGAGGGTAAAGTGACAAACTATTAATGCGCCTTAATTGAAGGGCCCCCATGTCAACAAGATTTTAGGAGAGTGATTGGCTCCCACTACTATCCTTGACCAATATTTATGAATTTTCCTTTTTATTTTCGTTATGCAGCATTTCTATGAATGTATGTATTATTTTCTCGCACCACAACCAACTAAAAGAATACTATAATTTTCTCATTTTGTATTACCCAATTATCTCTTTTCGTTTTCCACCTATTACAGACCATACATGGGGGATTCTCACATGGCTTGCTTGTGGAAATATGGTAGAGTCAGTAAAATGTATGGACAAGCTTGATACACTTGCAAAAATTAAGAATTTAAATTTTAGACCCAAATTAATTGGGCTTTTGTAGTTCCGTTTATTTAAGCCCACATCCCGTGGACTTGGGCTGCGGCATTCAATGCTTAACAAATTTCCTCATTAATGAACTTGTGAATTGTCTGTTTTATTGACCCCAAAAAAAGTGAATTGTCTCTTCATTTTATGTATATGCATACACAACTTTACATGCATTTATTTGCACAAAGCTCATAGGAGTAAAATACAGATGGGATGTAGGTAGGATTTTCCAAGTGCATATTTTGCTTCTCTTGCAAATGGAATTTCTCAAGCTAGGAAATGCTCACAACCGTAGATTATACAATTTTAAGTTACAATCTCAAGACAAATGAACTCCGAAAATGGACATTGATGAATGATCACTCATATGTGCATGAATTCCGTTTGAACTTGATAGGTTTTGATCCAGTAGAGTTTATCACCAATGGGCATGTGATTTCCTTATGATGCTTTGTCCTTACCAGCTTACCCACCACATTTCCACGTGAACGGATTTCAAAGTTCAACGTCAGTGGAACTTCAACACCGGTTTGAGATACTGTTATGGTGGATCCAGCCCCATACAAGGGAACCTTGTTACCTTCTAGGTTCACCGATACAATTCGGTGACTTTTTCTTGGTTGATAGTATTTCTTTAGCTGCAAGAAGTTACATGAACAAAAAACATGTTACTTACCTGACAAGACCGGACTACTTGAATTTAGATGTTCCTTCATATGTTTTCAATATCACTATTTTATGTTGACTATTACGAATATGCCATATTTGATGAATAATTATATATATATTGTGTACGAGATAATATATTATTTATATAGAATAAATATTGTTGAAATGTAATATAATAAGTATGAATATGGAATAAAGATAGCCACATTATCAGAGTGAGAGTCACAGGGTTTTGGTCCATGCTTGATTTAGTTAGTTGTAGTTTAGCAGAAGATAGGCAGTGACGAAAGAATTCTTACCTCGCCAGTTGCAACAGTGATGTCTGAGAAAACAAGATTGATGGGTGTGGAGTGCACATGGATGCCAAAAAATGTAGCAGGGTTATAGATGCTCATGCGTAAAGTTCCATTAACTGTCAGCATTTTTGTTGGGACACCTGTGAAGTCTAAACCCTCTCCAACATATAGATTTTGTACTGTCAAGCTCTGCGTGCATCCAAATGTCAAGCAATATTATGTAATTTGCGAATGTAGCTGGTAAGTAACACGTACTTAGAGACAAGTTATCAACCTAGATTTTACGGTACTCATTTGATATTATTTTATCCTTTGTTTTAACTTTTATAAGATTCTTAGAATTGCAGTAATAATTTCATAAATTCATTGCTCCGAGTCTTTTGTTTTACATAGTAGCATACTGCTATTAGTAATACCAGATTAAGAAGTGAAATATCTAAACAAAATTTGAAAATTTAGTATCACCAAATTATTAGCGTTTTATCTACGCTAAATGTTTTAGGAAACTGTAGTATGTATATTCTATGTGGTAATTTGAAATAAAGTTTACTTTCAGAATAACACAGTAACAGGTTGACAAGATCAGAAAAATAAGTAAATTAATAAATAAAATTGTTATTGTCAATTTTTAAAGACTCTGAAGTGGAAAATCCATTTAGAGCATGGAGAGGTTTACTGTTACAAACAGATTCTGAATTGTCATTCATATCATCTTGACGACTTAATGAGAAATGTGGCTGACCAAGAAAAGTCACAAAATTTTTTACTCCCCGCCGCAATTATCACATAACAGAAACTCACCGCAACTATTTATGGTATAAACTATAATCTCTAAATGCAAAAACGGAGAATGACTACTTTGAAAACAGACAAAATTGCTTACCTTAACAGTAACTTCAGCCTTGTAAGGCCTACTGGCACCCCATATGATCAAGCAAAACACAGTGAAAACGACCACAAAAGTAAGGATAGCAATTAAGGCTTGGAAGCGCCTAGTGAAAGCCTTATCCTCAAATTCATGATAAGACCCCTCTTCCAGAATCACATCACACTCAGGCCACCCCTTATCATTCCTCTTCCTACTACCTTTCCTTCCAGAAGATGACCTGAAAATCCCTGAAAACCTGCTAGCAGAAGAGTTCCTAGAATGACGCCCAAAAGAAGGGTGTGAAGGAGACTCCATAGGACTGTTTGATATTGGAGTGGCCTGCATTGAGGATGATTTGTCTCCATCATGAGAATCCCTTGAAGGACTCTGCACATAGTACACTGGCCTCTTTGGAGATCTTGAAGGTGAAGATGGAGCTAAGCTAGTGATATCCGATTCAGATTTTGTCGACAACATCATTAATCACTTACAATACTATATGAAAAGAGTAGCTGATAGTGATACTCCTTCAAATGTAACAATTCAATATAGATAGAGATAATTGAATGATACTGGTATCTGGACCTTGTAGTAGAGAACAATCTTGAGAACTTTTACCCCTTAATTCATGCGCCTAGAAGTAACACAGGAAAGGTTATGTATGTGTATAATATATTAGCAAAATGAACAAGTAGCGAAAATTTCTAAAAAATGCCAAAAGAAAAAATGGTACTTGAACAGATATGTGATGAGAAAGGACACATACAACACAACTTAGCTGTGCCTGTTTGTCACTGTGAGGGAGAGCGTGTGTTTGCATGGAAGAAAAGAAAGAAGAGCAATGGTCAATGCACAACAAATGCTTATGCTTGAAGGCCAAATAATATTGGAAGGCTCGGAACCAAACCTCACTGGATGCAGAAATTGGGTAGGTTCGGGAATAAGTGTCGGCAGCTTGTTTTATTATTTGTTACATAATAAAAGTATTCAAATAAAACAACTACAGTTTATTTATGTTGTCTTTTTTCTTTGTGGGGCATGCCCACTTTAGCCTTGAACCTTCAATTATAGGAGTTGGACAATTAACCTAATTATATTCCGGGTCCTCTTGGTTTGTCCTCTGCTGCATAGTGTTTTTATTTGTTATCATTTTAGGTACGTTTTATAATTTATTCGTGACTTTGGTTCTGTTAGACTAATGCGGATTGTGAGTGAGAGAAACAACTTGAGTAGCCAAACAAAGAAGAGAATGACAAACACAACTAAGTAGTTTAAGTCTATACTGAATATCACTTGTGTAGCCAAATGACATAATTTGTTACACTAATTAAACAGCAATAAGGGGATAAAAAAGGAATAGGAAATTGAAATCTATACAATGTCAAAAACTCTATCAGTTTTTCAGGATTTCTGGTGTGACAAAACATGAGTGATAATGTGAGCTTGTTATAATGATTTTATTTTTCTGGGTGGGGGTACGTAAGGAGCATAAAGTTTTGTTTTCACAGGCAATTATTAGGATTTAAAGTAGCATAACGTGGCATGTTTTTGGCATCGAAACAAATTCTTGTTTGGATGATTATTACTAGCAGTTTTTATGTTGAAATGTATTAAAGTGAAAAACCTTTACCTTCTGTTAGGAACATAATTGTTTAGTTTCCTCTTGGAGATCATCCGTAAGTTTAATATTTATAAGCATTTATCAAATTATATGATAAAATATTTTCAAACAGTAAGGGTTAAAATTTAGTACCTTCTAAACTCAACATGAACCTTTTTTTCAGCCAAAATGAACTTTTGTTTCGGTCATGCAAATAAGGAAAGGAGGAGAACCTCCCAGAGCCCAAAAAGAAACAGTAACTCCACAAAAGCCCAAAGAAACATAATAAACACATTTGCGAGAGTACTCTCAGCAGCCAGCATGAACCTCAGTGAGGAAACACCAAAAGAGGAATATTTTGGGTTAGATATAATTGGGCCTCAAGTGCCTTAAATGTTGTGGGCCTCACCTGGCCCACAGGCTACAAGCTTTGGGATTCACTTCGTACGAAGTCCAACAATTGACCCTTGGGGCACTGGCATCAGAGTTAAAGAGAGCCCAGATAAAATACCCTCAGTGCCTGGCCTACCTAAAAACTATTTGCGGAATGCCTTCTCTGTTTTTATCAGAGCCAGGTTTCGATCTTGGGACCTGTGGGTTATGGGCCCACCACGCTTCCGCTGCGCCACTCTGATTTGTTATATCCTTCGATATAATGGGAGATTGTGTTTTTTTGTTAATTGCAAAATTTTAAGGTAATTTAGGTTACATATGATATGAACAACTAGATGCTACCCCCTTCTTTGCTTCTTCATGACAATGATCTCGCATTGAACTTCATTGTTTCGTTTAGAGCACTAATTAATCCGTTGATTTTGCGTAATGATGCAACTAATGTAACGTGGACATGATTTTCAAGTGAGGAAAAGTGAGAGGTATTCGAATTTGCTTCAAAATGGAATACCCTTTTTATTTGAAGGGTTTGTTTATTTTTAAGTTTAATAAAATCAATATTATCATGCTTTGCTAATTGCTGCCATTCATTTCTATTGGATACGAATGACAGCAATCATTTTTCTTTTTTCTGAATAAAATATTTTTGTGTTCCGTGGTGCTTTAGCTTTGATCGGTGATTTCATAGCCAGCCATGTTGAGAATTAACAAGACTATATATTGCATGCATCTACTATTTGTCTATTTTTTACTGTTGGAGCTTTTCTTGTATGCTCTTTTTTTCGAGTGGAAAAATTTGTAGATACATTGGATTGATCGTAAATGGCAACGAATCCGAGTCCAGCAATAGTTGAAATTTGTGGTCTCATAGTTCACACGACAAAATAATGACCAGATAACGAAATCACATACACTCACGAGTAATCTAATAACATTATTATTATTATGTAATCTTCGTTCGTATCTTGTTTGATATTTCTAGCAATTAAAATATCTGATGAATCATTCATGCTAGTCACCATCTGGGTTTTAGCCTGTTGGCTTTGTCTGCTGGTGCTTCCTGACGTGTTCGTCATCATATATTTCAATAGCCATTTATGTATGCCTTATCTAAAACTGAAAAAAAAAATGATCTCATAATTTGACGATAATATTACTAAATCTTAACTAAATGACAAAGTAATCGCAATTGTCTCTCCAAATTTTATATTATAAATTAATTTATATGTTATAAATTTAAATACTCATTCTCAAAGAAAAAAAGCTAGGTAAGTAAATGACATGGTTTTTATATGGAGTGTCTTATAGGGTGATATTACTCATTCTAGCTAAAGGGCACACCGTAGTTATATCCATTGCTCGCCATGGTCATTTAAGATATGCACTTTTGACCCCAAGAAAAAAAGAACATGTTTATCTAACTCTACCTATGTTGAATCTTTGCGTGCTTCTTGATTAACAAGATATGCCTTGCGTTAACATTCTATGCAACGCAAAATTGATCACTTGGTGCTTTGTAAGATTCCATATAAAATAGTGTCTTTGATGACTCCGTTCCACGTAGAGCTTAAGAAAACACCACTCTACTTGTCACTCTATAAGCAGGATATATCATATCGTGATGTTTTACTTTAATATAATTTTATGTTAATATTAAAATATACATGATAGATTGGTACTCTTAATTGTACATTTAATTAAAAAAAGGAAAATATAAAATTTTATCGTCATAATATTTGTATTAATTTGTTCATATTTTTTTTAAATAAAAAATAAAATATCGTAAACATATTTTTTCAAAAGGAAATTAGATTATCTAAAATAAAATTTATAGATTTTTATTTAAACACATTCGGACATTAATGGCGGCCGAGACTAATAGCAACGCTAGAAGAAAATTTCCACCTTTATTTTTTTTTCAAGACCACATTTGTTATTTGAAGCAAGTCACCAGGCACGGGCCTATAACAAGTAATGGTTACACGGAAAATATGAAAAATTATATTTGTATATTAATTCTTTATATAATAAAGAAATAGGTAAAAAGAAAATTGAAAGAAAAGTATACGATAAGATGATTAATGTAATACAAAATAAAATATATATAATATATGAATAATGTGATCCTAAAGTAATGGTTTTTTCTAACATTACAGAATAAATACGAAACATCGGTTTGCATTGCGTGTATAAATTGTCATGAATAATTTACGCGGATAAGGATAAGATATGGTACTGGCCTTATGGGATTATCTATTCCATATTTGAATTTAATTTATTCAAATCGCATTATAAAAAAGTAGTATATAATACAGAAAACAAGTTATATAAAACAGTAAGTTAACAGGTACAATAACGAATGCATATAAATTGGTACCAACAAACGATGGTCTCCTTTATTATTGTTATTTTCTCCTGTTGGGTCAGTGTTTGCAAATTATATCATATCATATGCAACAGTGTTGACAGGAGTTTAAATTAATTGATATTGATTAACAAGTTCAGAGTGGTCAACACCCTTTTGTAGTATCTTTCATATTCGATTATTAATTTATATTCATTTTCCACCATCAATAACGTTGGGCTGCAGAGATAATTTTAAGAATAGTGTAGAAGCCAGAGGAGGGGTTGGTTCAAAATCCAAGTACCAAGAAACGGTGCACCTAGTCAAACCCAAAATTACCAAAATGGCAAAAGTCCTTTTAATTTTAGCCTCACCAGCTTTATCCTCAGCTTTCATATATATATTTTTATTAATAAGGATGGTTTTATCAATAGGTTCTTAACCAGTCTCTCGTTGGCAACCATTTCCTCGTATGACTCGGTGAGCTAAGGCCATGACGAAAAGGTCTGAGAGAGATAATGAGAGAGAATTGCTAACGTGGATTTCTATAATAAAGACAAAAGTCTCTACAATAAGCAAAGAGAAATAAGGACAGAAAGGTTGGACTATGTGCCACGCTGTGCCTACTTTATGTGGTCATTTGAGTGATTCCCTCTCCCTTGGAAGGAATGGGATCACGTTCATTGCTTTCTTATTTTAAAATTTAAAGTCTTTCCTCGGTCTTCTATTATGGCTTCAAAAGAAAATTGATGCATCATAATCATATAGATAGCTTTTGAGACATAAGGGTTAACAGCAACTGCTGTATAAGAGTGATAATATTGCTTACATCACAGGGGCGCGAAGAGATGTTGGAAGGAAAAGCTTTGATAGTTGATACCGACATGCCAGTCAAGATGCAGATCCAAGCCATGGCATCCGCTTCTGAAGCTCTCGATCTCTACGATGTAGTTGATTGCAAATCCATTGCTGCCCACATTAAAAAGGTTACATTTTTCCTCCCCTCCTTCAATCATACACAACATTAAGTTGTTCCTTCAACATTAATGTTTAATAATCGTTTATTTAAAAAATAAAGTTTTTGTTTAAACATATATTTAAAAATTAAAATAATAAGTTGATGTCCTGTGTATATTTAGAAGGCTAATTTCAGTAAAAAGTTTGTGTGATTGAGCATATAAAAAGGCTTGGGGTTTTTGTTGTTGTTGTTGTTGACTGAGTTTATGGTTTTCTTGACTCTGCAGGAATTTGATACAAGATATGGTTGTGGATGGCAATGTGTGGTGGGTTCGAGTTTTGGATGTTTTTTCACCCATTCCAAGGGAACTTTCGTATACTTTGCTCTGGAGACTCTCAATTTCCTCATCTTCAAAGGGGCTTCTTCTCTTCTCTGAGTATCCCACGGTCATGTCTGGTTGGTTGTAAAGAAAGTTCCACCAGAGGCAACTCCCGAGTCATTAGTGGAATTTGAAGGGTGCCTTGAGGTGTGAGCAGGGTCCATTCTGATTTTGTATATATGATAAATCATTTCCTCTTCTTCAGTTTTTCTTTTGCTGCTAGTGCTAGGAGTTAGGTTCCCTTGTGACCTTATCTGAATTTTCTGGATATTGTATGTTATTTTTCCAATCCCTTATTTATCCGTAGTCAGAAGAAAGACCAGTCTTCCCTTTACCTATAAAGTATAGTGCAAATCATATCATATGTTTACCAAAAAGAAAAAAGAACATAGGCTAGGAAGGCACATGTTGAGTGAATCAATTTGATCAAAGAAGACATCGCTCCAGTTCAGAGATGAAGAAAGAACCACAGCTACTGTATCTGAGAATAATAAAATTCGGGCGTAGTGAAATCAGATAAGACAAGAAGCTCCTGGAATCAAGTCACAATATTCTGAATGATGAGTGGGTCCAGCTATCTCTTTTCTTTTCATGTCTGTGGGGTACTTTTACTTTTCCTTTTGAGATCATTTAAGTATATCTTAATCTTAATTTGCACAGGAACTCTGGATAAGAAATAATGACACCTAACCTCACACTAGTTTGAACAGAGAATGAAATTAAAATAATAATAATAATAATAATTGGTCAGCTTGTTAGTTAAATAAATTTACTATTTAGTATTCTAACTATAAAGATGAAGTTCTCAGATAGACAATTAACAAATGTTCTTCAATTAACAAATTTGAAGAAGGAATTCGCAACATTAATTTGATGCACAATGATGAAGATTTTAAATGGTAATTGCATCTTCACTAGGCAACCTAGTAACTTAGAATGTTGGTTAACTCCGGCAATGAACATAGAACGTTAAACTAAATGGACATCTAGAAAACAAAGTTTTCATAGCAAATATGATAGTGATATTCTCTAATTATGGTCCACAATAAAAGGGAATTCGAGGCAAGAAAAGACAGGATCAATGCTAGTAACATCCTACTTACATCAATAAAGAGCAATAATAATAATAATAAACTACGATTACTACGGGAGATTTCTGGTTTCTAGAAAAAGAAAGTCATTGTAACCTCTTGCTGGAATGTCGGGCTAATAATAACAATGAACCGATAGACTAGCTTAATCTTCATTGTTATAATACAAGAGAGAAAAACATTGAAACAACTATTATTTTAATAAAAAAAAAAAAAAGTTTACCCAGCTTCTCTCAGGCTTGTAGACATTGATCAAAATGAAACCAGCGGCACTTAATTTAACAATCAAATCACAGGAGTCAAAAGTGGTTTGCCAAGGAAGTGTGCTTCTAAGTTTGCAATTACAAGGTCTGCCATTGCCATGCAAGTTTCCTGAGTGTCGCTGCCCACATGAGGGGTTAGCACAACATTGTCAAGGCCAAGTAGCTGCTCGGGCACCTCTGGCTCGTTCTCAAACACATCAAGGCCTGCCCCAGCTAGTCGTCCTTCAACCAGTGCGGACACAAGTTCAGCTTCATCAATGAGATGGCCTCGCCCAATGTTGATTACCATTCCTTTTGGGCCTAATGCATCAATAACTTGACGATTCACAATGTGATGGGTTTCTTGAGTAAGGGCACATGCTATGACAAGTATTTCAGAGTTGGCTGCCAAGTCAAGAATGTGAGGGTAGTGCTTATATCCCATCTCTGGTTTTTCTGATCTGGAGTGGTAACTTACTCCACACCCAAAAGCTACAGCTCTCTTTGCTATTGCCGAACCAATTCTTCCCAACCCAACAATTCCAACTGCTTTACCACTAAGCTAAATATGCAAATTAGTCACAGAGATATATAACAACTAAATATCTCATATAAATTGTTAGCACCAAAGTCCTTCGAATACACTCTTTAGCATGTATATGATTGCTCTATTTTTTAGACAGTTCAGACATTTGCCTCATAAGTTGATTACTCTTTAAAATTTGTTTTGATTTTTAAAAAAATTCGAACATACAAGTAAAAGTGTGCATCTTCTTACATAGCATGGATACTAGGTAACACAATAAATATATATATATATATATAGAGAGAGAGAGAGGAGATTTTCTTTTAACTCTAAAAACTCTTGTCCTCATATTTGAGGCTTTTCATTAAATTTATATTTAATATATTATAATTTATTATTTTATTAACAGTTAGATGTATTATCAGTGATATTTACTAGTTAAAATTAAATTTTATTTTAAAAATTTAATTAAATATTATTACATATGGTCAAAGCAAAACTTTAATGTTGATTAGCAAACAATATTTAAGCAACTATACCTAAGTCATATACTAAAAAAAATGTAAACTAAAATTAGTTTATTAACAATAAAAATATAAAAATTCAAAATTTTATTTTTGAAAAATAATTTAATCGATAAAAATCATTTTAATGGTGATTTATAAATATTTCATTATGTTTAATGTCCATTGAAGACAAGAAAAGGCAATAAAAGAAGCATTAATTAAATAAAATAAAGAACAAAATTCTTTTATGAAATAAATAATTAAAGAAAATATATATTAATTTAATGTGATAGCTGAAATAAAAACATTTGTGACTAATAAGGAGAAATGAGGGCATTGGTTTCGAAAGGCAGGAAGGGCAAACCTTGGTAGTGAATTGAAAAACAGTTGTTTTGTTGAGGCGATTGCAGAGAGCGCGATGGTCGTGAGAAATTCTGCAGAGGAGAGCCAAAGCAAAGGCGATGGCTAGGTCTGCCACGTCATCGGTCAACACATCGGGCGTGTTGGTGACTCGAATCCCTTTCTCTCTGCATTTTATTAAGTCAATCTTGTCAAATCCAACGCTGTAAGTGGACACAATCTCCAACTGGGGCAACGAATCGATGCTGTTCGCGTCGGCTCCAACTTTGGCGTTCGCCACCACTGCGCGAACCGAATTGGCGTGTGCTTCGGCGAAAGCGGAGAATGAGGAATAGTTTGAGAGTTTGAAGAGGTTGAAGCGCTTTTCCAGCTCTTCTTCGATGTAGCTGTGCATTGGGCAAGTCATTAGCACGCCGATTGATTCCATTCAAACTGCAAATAGCCGAATATGATCAAACACAACCACAACCAATGCTATCCAATGATGTGCTTGTTGCTAGTTCTGTAAATATCACAACAAAAGGGTTTATTAGACCAGTGATTTGACTCGAGTCTAACTAAGGAGGTACAAAAACAGCTGCAACCAGACCACATGGAATGGAAGAATAAAATTAAGCATTTTTTGTGATTTTATTTTAAAACCTAATTTCCATATTAAACTTTATTATACAAATGCTTTCATTTAATTTTTATATGACCAAAAATTGATTTTTTTTCCCACTTAAAATAAGCAAAACACATATTAAAAGTTAAAGCCAAATCCACTTTATTAGTATTCTATATATGTGCAATTAAAATAATATTTTAAAATCAAATACTTGTGATAAAAATAACTGCTATAAAAGTTAGTTTTACTGTATTATAAATATATATTTTTATTTCTGAAATAGACGTGGTTTAGAAAAGAAATTACTGACAACAAGAAGTTAAGATAATTTATATATAAATATAGATTCAAATTTCATTGTCATCACTTTAGTAAGAAACATTTTCCTTTTTAAAAAATAACATTATATGAAAAAAAAACAAGTTAATATTTATTATGCATGTGAGAGAAATATAATATAAAAATTTTAATAATATGTTTTTTAAGCAATTTTTAACTTATTTTTTTATTAGATGAAAAAATATTGAGACTTACTGAATAAAAAATGTTGATTTTGTAATATTTACTTGATTTTTATCTAATATGTTATAATGTTTTAAGTTCTTTCTACATTTAATATATTAAAATCACGATTCCTTTCTTATTCTTTAAATTAAAAATGAAACCACACTGAAAATGGGATAGATTTAAATAGAATATAAAAAGAAATATAATGAAATAAACATTCTGTTTTATTGTTTAGATGATAAATAAAAAATAATGAAATATAAGATTTTTATTTTAATAAAAACAGTGAAATGATAAATTTATGAATTTGTGTTAAAATAATATTAAGAAAGAATGACATTCATCCCATCAAATATTATGATTTTATTTAATCTTTAATTATTTTAAACAATAAAACTATTGAAAACATCATTTAGTTCCAACTGCAGTGTATCACCATTCACCAATTCAAACGTAACATTATTTACTAGTATTTTGCATTTTTTTTAATTGAGCAAAATGAAACATCTGAAAAGGGACAAGTTATTTGATTCATGCACTTACTAACTTAAATTTAAGTAGTGCGACAGAATGGTGAATCGGATATTGTTATTAAAATAATTTCATTTTTTTCTTACTAATACATACCAAACCAAACAATTTAGTAAAATATTAAAAATACTCTGTTTGCACAAATTTAATTTATGCACCGCAAGTCATATTTTGATTTAATTGATATATTACTTAAAGAGTATGTAAATTGTAAAGAAAAAAAATACAAGAGTTACTTTTAAAAATGAGAAAAGTGGAGGAAGAGAAATAAATAAATAAATAAAAACACGTGTAAAATATGCACAACTTGTAATTTCTTATTAATAATTAAAAATATATTCTTGAATATTCACTTCAGTGAGGGAGAGAGAACAAAACCTAACGTGCGTGGAAGATTAAATAAGTAAATAAAAAATTTAAAAAGAAAATCAGAAGTAGATGTATTACAGTATGAATTTTACACAGAAAAAGCGTAATTGTTGGATGGTTAGCGAAGAATACTAACGGAGATGTGACGGAATGAGTTTGGGCTTTGTTGGGTCCTAAACTGGTGGGCCGTATTCTTCTCCCACTTGCGTCTCCGCTACCATTTCCGTAGCTTCTTCTTTCACCAATTCTGCCGCTGAACATCACAGGTATAACATTAAGCAAAAACTGATGGTGCATAATCTAATCGTAACTGAACCTATTTGCTACCATTACCTCTTTGCTTTTCCATCCAACTATTTGCTGAATTCCACTGTGAAATCAAGACACAAAGGATGATTTGTTTTAGAAAGCCAGCAAGAATTTAGAAATCTTGATTGAATTATTTCATCGTCATTGCTCACCAGCAATTTCTTGAGATATTCATTCTCTTCTTGAAGGCGCCTCATATCATCTTGTAACTTTTCCCCGTAGGCCTACAATAAATTAAATAAAGTTTCATGATACACATTGCAAAATCTAATTCAAGTTTGATTTTATATGCATAAACCATGTGATGTGTGCTCCTCACCACTCTCCAATTGTAGTCGGTGATCTTCTGAGCTTCTTTTGCCATGGTCTTGCTGCTAGATTTTGAATTGCAAGTTCGACTTCAATAATCAATCAGTAATGGAATAAATGTTAAGTTGCAACTTGCTTCAGGACAATGAGAACACCTAAGAGAAGTATTCACAGTCACTAGTGAATGCCATGTTTCAAGCCCTCCTCATCCTCATCCTCACCCTCACCCTCACCCTCACCCAGCGAAGCACTGATAGCGACAGTTTTTCTCTTCCTTTAATTACACTCTTAGTTTTAATATTTTAAATCATGCATAATTTTAAATTCACTAGTTTCAATTTTTACATTTAATTATCATAATATTTTAATTTTAAATGAAAATTTTATTTTGAAATTTTATTTAATACTTAATATAATATAATGAATATATATATTGTATATTATTTAAATAAAAATTTTAAATGTATAAATTTATCATAGGTCATTTTTTTAATAATTTTATCCCATGTAAAACTACAAATCCATTATATATCATAGTTTTTTTTATTATATTTATGTTAATTTTAGAAAAACATGAAATTTTGAAAAATAATAAACTAAATTAAAAAAATAATGCAATAATTAAATTAACAATTTGCTTTATCATTTTTATAAAATATTTTTTTATGATATAAATTTGAAAATTTTTATTAAACCATTTATATTAATTTGACTGTGATAGAGGTGTTGATATTAATATTATAGAAATCAAAGGAGTAAAAAAATTATTTAAACTAAAAAGTAAAAAATATGTTTAGTTAATAGTTGAAAATTAATATTTTAAAATAATTAATTAGAATAATTTTGTGTTATAAATTCTTTATTTTAACTATTCTTGCCCAATGGAATCAATGGTTAAGATTTAAGATAGCCGCGAGCAGAGAATAGGCTGCTGTTTTTATTAAACAAAATTAATTAACTAAATTTTTTCCCCAAATACACTAATAATATGAAAAAATTGATTAAGAAAAGAGAGGAATAGCAGCAGTTATTTTCAAGTAGTTACAGTGTAGAGTGCCTTTTATCATTCTTCCAAATGAATGGTCATGCTTGAATCCTTTTCAATTTAAATTTATCAAATTTTGGTAAGAGCATATGAAACTCTTAAAATTATTTAAATTATATTTTGAAGGTCTCATAACGGCTTATAATTTATTTTTATTTAAGCAGCTTTTAGTTCTAACCCAACTTTTATTCATTCTGATTTTTTTGTTTTTATTTTGAAAAACGGTACCCAAAGTTTTTTTTTTCTCTAATTCTTACTTTAAATAACTGATGCTTAAACGAAGAAAGATTTTTTTTTATATATATATTTAGAATGACAGTTCATCAATGTCCTATAGTAAATTAAAATAAGCAACTGTTACTTAAGAAAAAAAAAGTAAACTTAACCGATTTTGATAAGAAATGCTCCAACGAACAATTTAATTAAAATACACATCTAGGGTAAAAAAAATTATTTTGTCATTAAATATTATTATTATCTGTGATAATTATTTGAATTAAAATATATATTTACTGTAGTTTTTAATTATGAAACAGCATAGAAATAGAAAAATGTAAAACTAAAGAAAAACTCCGCACTAAAAATTTTAATTATGTAATTTACTTTTTCTTATATTTCGAACTGTCATAGTTTAACAGAAATAACATCTATGATATTGCAGACATAGCATCAACGATTATATTCCTGATCTTACTATCCTCTCTGCAATATCTTTTAAATATGTATGAAAAAAAGAAATGGGGGAAGGGCAGAACAGAGAACTCATACAATTATTTTGTTTCAACGCAAAATGAGAAAAGTGTAAGGGATGCTATTTAAAGAAATATAACTTTTTTTTTTAAATATCCATATTGTGTTCGACATAAACACGCATCTTACACAATTACAACACAACACAAACTACTTATATATAAACTTTAAATTGACGAAGTAAAGAAGTTCTGTAATGCCCAAATAAAAAAGTTCTGTAATGACAGTGTAGTTTGCAGAATATAATATAGCCACCAAATAAAATAGAAAAATAAAAGACGTGCAGGTAGCAAAGTAACAAAAAACTAGTAAGAATTTGGAGTTGATATGCAGTAAACAACAGGAGACGAAATTGGTGTCTTTGTTGGATGTGGACTGAAAGAAGAACAGAGAGGTGGGTTATTATAAAATCGTGAAAGGCTAAGCGTGCGTGTCTGTCTTCCCTGGTCTTTAGCTATCTTTGACCTTTAAATTAGAACCTCACCCAATAACCATCCAATTCCCCTCATCCTTACAAAGCAAAATTCCCATAACATACAAAATAATGCAAATTTTGTTTCTCACTCTTAAACTTATCGCACTTCTTACAACATGCACCTCACGTTCAAAAAAGAAAAGCTAACAAAAAACCACCTCCACCCTTTTCTCAAACTCACCAACTCCAAAAAGAAAGAAAAAAAACTTCATTTTCATTTGTTACTTTGGCTTCCCTTTGCTACTTTCCTTCTCTCCCACTATCTCCCTGCAGGGTCTCGGACACCCCATGTTTTGTTCTTCTTAGTTCACACGTTGAAAAGCTTAGTTTTTCTTGGAAAAAGAGAAAGAATAAAAAAACATGGTTCGAGCAGGGGAACAAGAGCAGGAAGGCAGGTCCAAACTATTCAATTTCAGAGGGATGTTTGAGGGCACTGGGAGGCATACCAAGAGCTTAAGCGTTGACACTGCTAGCGCGTTGGATCCTACAGAGGATGGCTCTGCTTCATCAAGAAGTCAAGGATCAAAGCCTCTTAATGATTCAGATAAGCTTCCTAAGCCAAGGGTAATGAGCAAAGAGGAAATCGCTGCAAAGGAGGCCAGAGAGAAGCTTTTGCAAGGTGAACACTATTGCTCCTCACTCCTCACTCCTCACATTATAATGAATAAATTATCTTATTGTTTTTATGCATATCTTTATATTTAACAACGTTTCCATGCAAAAGTGTGTATACTCGATAAAATTGATATTCATGGTTGGGTTTAATTCAGAGATGGAACAGATGAAGGAGAAATTTTCCAAACTGCTATTGGGTGAGGACATGTCCGGTGGAGGAAAGGGTGTTTCGTCTGCTTTGGCCTTGTCAAATGCATTCACAAACCTTGCTGGTACGTAACGTTGACCTCTTTCCTTAACCAAATATAGTCCTTGATTTATATTTTCATTATCATTACATGTTCTAATAATTGTTATCTGATTGAAATTACAGCTTCGATTTTTGGTGAACAAAGGCGCTTGGAACCAATGCCAGCAGAAAGGAAAGCAAGATGGAGAAAAGAAATTGATTGGCTTCTATCAGTCACGGATTACGTTGTTGAAATGGTTCCTTCACAACAGAAGTCCAAGGATGGTTCACAGATGGAGGTAATATTTTTTCTCTTTCTTTCTTTCTGTACGTATGTAGTTATGTTATAAGATTGAATTTGAAATTGATCTTTGATTAATTAGATTATGACAACGCGACAACGAACCGATCTCCACATGAATATCCCCGCCTTGCGCAAGCTTGATGCAATGCTTATTGTAAGATCACTAACCTTGTTTATTCTTTCACGATCATTATTTTTCTATAGGTTCATAAATTGATTGTTAATTATCTTGAACAATTGTTTATGATGATTGATGAGCAGGAATGTCTAGATAACTTCAAAGATCAAAATGAGTTCTATTATGTATCGAAAGATTCAGAAGATTCAGATCAAGACGATTCCAAGAAAAAAAATGATGATAAATGGTGGTTACCTACCCCTAAGGTTCCTGCAGAAGGTCTATCTGACATGGCTAGAAAATTTTTACAGTATCAGAAAGATTGTGTTAATCAAGTACTTAAAGCGGCCATGGCAATAAATGCTCAAATTATAACAGAAATGGAGATCCCTGAAAGCTATATTGATTCCCTACCCAAGGTGAGACAAAAACAACTACTATATGCTCAAAAGTTAGGTCTTGATTCAGTTTTCTAACATATTTTTCTTTTCACAACATAACTCTTTTTTTTCCTTACTCTTCTTCTCCTGCAGAATGGAAGAGCAAGTCTAGGAGACTCGATCTACAGGAGTATAACAGTTGAATTTTTTGATCCTGATCAGTTCCTCTCAACCATGGACTTATCATCAGAACATAAAATCCTAGATCTCAAGAATAGAATTGAAGCATCAATAGTGATTTGGAAGCGGAAGATGAACCAAAAGGATGGAAAATCTACTTGGGGTTCTGCAGTGAGTTTGGAAAAAAGAGAGCTCTTTGAAGAGAGAGCAGAAACCATATTACTTCTCTTAAAGCACCGTTTCCCTGGCATTCCTCAATCTGCATTGGATATAAGCAAAATCCAATTCAACAAGGTAAGAGCATGTCTCTTCTTAAGCTTGAGTTTTGTTGTCCAAAATCTGCATATACTTTTGTACAAAGAACTGACTGAAGAGATTCTTTGGAACATCATATTTGGATTCATTTTCATTTTCTGTTGCATGAATTAATATCTGGGTTTGGTGAGTTTGGAAGCGTCATTTAATAGACTAATTTTTGCTGTGTTTAATTAACATAATGATAAAGGAATTGTTGTCTTGGCAGGATGTGGGGCAAGCTGTTCTAGAAAGCTATTCAAGAATATTGGAAAGTTTAGCCTTTACAGTACTTTCGAGAATAGATGATGTACTCCAAGCAGATTATCAAATTCAAACTCAAAATCTAAATGGAAGAAGGAGAAGCTCAGTTTCAAGGCCGAGTCCTAGAGAAGATTTAGACAAGGGTAGCACAGAAACACCTGCTTCAATGACATTATCAGATTTCATGGGTTGGGGCTCTGATCAAGGTGACTCAGACATGAAGAAGGACCCCTTAGCTTCAGATGACTTTTGCAAAGACGATGATGCAAAGCAACAAAAACTTTCGAATGTAGTCACCAACAAGAAGGGGTCATATCTTGAGAACTTGGGCGTCATGAGAAGCCCCACATCGCGCCATTAAAACAGGAGTCAGAGGGAGAAACCAGTATAGCGAGTGAACCTTGGCCTTCAAAAGCACCATTAGACACATACATAGAGGTGTTTGTTGGAGTCTTGACTGTTTTTTCTTTTTTTGACCAATTCTTCCCTTTTGTACATAGGAATGAGTATACAAAATTCATTGACTTTGAAGCATTGTCAGATATATACATTATTTTTCTTATAAGAAGAATTTGTAGTCTGGTAGCTAACAATATGTGCTTTCTGATGATACCACAATTATCATGTCTGCGTGTCCTTTTAACTCTCCTTGCCTTTCTACGTTATTTGTGATCATATAATTTATGAAAAATGTGATAGCAACTCTCAAAATTTTCAATGTAATGTTTACATGCGTTTTTAACACAAAATTATTTATTAATTTATAACTAATATTCTTAAAATAAGGCTTAAAAGGTCCTACAAACGGTGATGACCTGATTGGTCTTTGCTTCAACTGAATAACTGAGAATTAAATTAAAAGCAATGGCAGTGTATTAGGGTGTGGAAATAAGCAGCATTGATAGAGGGAAATATGCAAACAGAGATATACATAGATAGATACATACATGTTGGATTGAAAAGAAGAAAGAAAAGAGATGAAATTGAGAAACAAAGTTAGATTTTGCCACGGGGACCGGGCTTAGGTGGAAGTTGTGGGCCCTTCTTGATGGGTAGAATGTCACCTGAGGCTGTGGCACTCAGGTATGCCAGCGTGGAACCACCTCCCAGGATCAAAAACTTCAGTAACAATCCCCTCTTTGTGAATGGAGCCGCAAATGTCTCAAAGAACTTGCTCTGTAAATCCATTTCAATCAAACATATTTCAAGTTAAATGAAGAATATAAAGGTGCACAGCGGAGACAAACCTGAAGAGGGTTGTAGGGTGAAGGTGCATCGTTGCCGTACAAGTCCCACTGACCTGTAGTGTTGCCAATATCCTCCAAATCAAAGTACACACTCTTGTCACCATACTTTGCTACCACACCCCCTCTCCTGTAACGTTAAGCTTTCACGTCCAATTAGAACAAACATGAACCATAATAGGGCTATTGATTTAATACTCTTATAAAGCTAATCAATTTGTTCAAAGTTACCTGAAATTTTTGGGTCTGAAACTCTGGCGAGAGGGCTTGAAAGAGAGCTTGGTTCCACTAAGGGAACTTCCAGCAAGGCCATTGACTGTAGCTGGTTGAACAATAGCTAAGCTTGCAAGAGAAGCCATGGCTTTGGGTACGATCAATTGGGGGAGAAGAGGGTACTACTCATGCTTTGCTTTTGATATGTTACGTGAATCTCATCTTCATTGCCACGTGGCCAGCTTCTTTTATTTTTGCAGATTTTGGAATTCATTCATGAGATGCCACGTGGTTCAAAGATGGATAAGCCTATCCAATTAGTTCTCGTGGTTAGTCAAGATAACATGTGTGGACTCTTGAGTCAACTTTTTTATAAACAAGGTGGTGATCGCCAAATGAGTTTCATTTAACAGCTTATTAGTCTTGATTTGTTACGGGTTGAATTTGTTCTTTTTTTTATTTATAACAAAATTTAAAATTATTAAATTTTGATTAAATTATCTATATTTAAATGAGATTTTAATATTTTTCTATTTATTACTTCCTTATTACTATTTTGTTGTTTAATTTTTTTAAAATAAATAAACTCACTCCAAACTATTTTTGTTTTCATAATTAAGGTATGTTTAGGAATTTTTTGTAAAATTTAAAAAGTTAAAAATAAATAATTATTTTTAAAATAATTTAAAAAACACGAATTTAATCTTCAATCATGTTTTAAGTGAAATTTATTATTTTATAATATTTCATTGATAATTAAAAAGAAGAAAAGGTGATGGTATAGCATATTAAGGTGCAGCGGGGTGGAGTGGATAGTGTTATCCCTTTGGGGGAGAAAGAGATAAGAAATGTGGCTTCTGCAACTTCCTCCAAAAATCTCAACCCCATTTCTGAACGGACATGGCCATGCCTCGCCCCTTCTCTCCAAACCAACTTCATCAGCGACTGTGACACATTTCCCACGACCGAATTTGGTCCCTCAGATAAGGGCGATGAAGTCAATGCAGGGAAAGGTGGTGTGTTCCACCAACGACAAGACGGTGGCAGTTGAAGTGGTTCGGTTGGCACCACACCCAAAGTACAAGAGGCGCGTGAGGAAGAAGAAGAAGTATCAGGCCCACGACCCAGATAACCAATTCCAGGTGGGCGACACAGTCCAACTCCAAAAGACCAGGCCCATCAGCAAGACCAAAACTTTTCTCGCTCTCCCCGTTCGTAACAGGAATACACCTTCCAATAGACCCTCTGAAACCGAATCTGCGGATCTTTCCATTCCCTTGCAGTCTCAGCAGCCTTAGACTCCCCCCTATTACTTTTTGTTTTTATTCAAATCGTTTTGCTTTTGCTTCCATGTTTATGTTCTGTAATTCGCATCTTGTCACTGTGAATCTTTACTCTTAGTGCTCTATATATGCAATTTTTATGATTCTGGTTAACTTACTGCTGTGCTGTGCCGTATGCTAATATGTTTGTTTTTAATAATTGTTTTATTGTTGGGTTGACGTAATTTGACACAAACTAATTCAAATTGAAAAATGGATATTGTTATAGAGAGAACGTAGATTGGTTATTGTACCCTCCAAGTGTTTGATGAAATGTCGGATTTGGCTATTGATAAACCTCCAAATGCGAAACTATGGCAATGTTATATTTGAGAACCTCAATTGTTCAATGCTTATTGTGTCCAATACTGTTTGACGTTTAGGTTTCTGATGGCAAGATTTCCTTTGTAAATTCAAACATCTTTGCCATTCGTTTGGAGCATTTTGTGTTGTAGAATGCTGAAGGACATTTGTTTTATCAATCTTACATGGTTTGATGCGTCCTTAGTTGCCCCAGAGAAGCAATGTCATGCCCTTACGACCAAGTAATGTGAAACCGTGGATCAAATGCATTGATCCTCGTTATAGGATTACAGTACCCTGCCTTGATTTTGCCATAATTTAGAACAAGTGCGTTCCTAGAACTGCTCGCTCAGTGCATGGTTTCTTTGTTTAGATCCGAGGCCTCGTGCATTATCTATTGTTGGGGGTTAGCACGTGGCAGTAAGTTTTCTTAACAAAAGCTAGAAGATAGAACAAATATGAGTTACTCGATGGTAACTACCAAACAAGTTTGTGCAAGAAAAAGGAACCGGTTTTAGATAAAATACCATGAAAAATGAGTAAAACAAAAGAAAGGTTATATTTTACCCCATCAGACCAAGATATAATTGCTTGTAGAAATTTATGGACCGGTTCCTTTTGCTGAAAACTCATTCTCATAGAAATGATTTTTTTTCCTTAAGCTGGAACTTTACACATGCTTTCCTTATACAAGTCCTGTCTTTGAAACTTGATTGATTTTATCAACCTGAAGCGCACGGTTTTGAATATTTATAATTAAGGCTGAAACATTACTGTAAACGTTTTGCTTTTTACATAAACGTGAACCGCTCAGCGTCATTATTCTAAGAGACGTTAAACTTCCTGAAGCAAAATTTGTGTGGCATAGCTTTTTCATCACTACTGATTTTAGTCGATAATTCGCAATCTGAGCCATCTAAACATCGTAGTAACGTAGGAATCATCAAAATTACAAATAAAAAACCAACCACATAAGGAATTAACAAATGATCATTCTATACAAGCCATAATATATAGGTTTTGAAAACTTTTTGTCTCTATTTCTACCTATGGAACTTCAGATACATTACCGATATATATATATATATATATTCAATCCCAACCTTTCTTTGTAATGGAATAATAATGAATAAACTAACCCAGAATAAGGGGGCAAACACAAACTATTTTCACCAAACCGAATACTAACCAAAAAGTGGATATAAAGCCTAAGATTATCACAGCTAATTGACTAACCATCTTCACATTGTAAACTCGTTCTGATATTTCTCAATGTACAAGATACAAGAGTGTTGACTGAGTCCACAGACTCCATAGTTAACTTGGCTGTGGGAGAAGCATTGGTAAGGATCTGGAATGCCATTGTAAATAAAGATCCTCCCTCTGTATTTTTTTCTTCTTGCCTTGATGTAATCACCAATGGCCTAGATTCAAGGCCATCAGGAATAATAGAGAATCCTGAGGGAAGTATCGCAAGATTGCTTGAATCACATCCTGTCATCACAGACTGAATACCAGTAATGTCCACAGAAGCATATACCACCATTGACTCATAAGAATTTGTGCAGCTATCTTGCAGTATCCACAGACTGTTTTCTTTCGATTTAATAGTCTGCAAAATGAGAAGAATCTCATATTCTACTTAGAACCATGCTTTGATATGAATGCAGTTTGCATTTTCATTTTGTTCAGTTTGTGATGCATTGGAACCGAAGCAACTTACTTGGATAGTTACAGCATTGCCTCGGTCTTGTCCCTTGGCTAAATTTGCAATGCACTGCACTGCCCCACCACTGGACATGATATCCCACTATGACAATATGATAAATATCAACACAATCAACATTCAAATTCATATAATTACTCACTAAATTGCAAAAACATTAAGAAGGAAATCAAACAAGAGAGTGGTACCTCAGTTCGACGTGCTTCGTCCCTCAAGAAATCAAACAGAACATTAGGCGAGACAGGCAACCATACAGAAGAAACTGCACACAATATCAACCCAAGAGGTTCACCAGGATCGTTCAAGTTTTTTCTAGAACTGATCCTTATGTCTTCCCCAGTTTTACTTGTAACCTTAGTCCATGTATGAAAACTTGACGCACCAATTGCATGGCAGAAACTCCATGTCATTCTTTGAGCCAACTTTAAAATGCTTTTTCTCCCAGCTAATGTGGCAACACCTAATTTTGCCATCCACCACTCTGATTAGTTCACATCTCTTTAATTAAGTATTCAACAAAATAACATTTTAGAATTCAATGCTCACCAGTTGAGTCCTTCATGGGAACATTTGTTGCCATGAAAAAAACTAGACGTTCACATTGAAGTTGCAGTGTCGCAATCCAATGCCTTGCCCCAAAAGCTAGGCCACTGTTGACAATAGTGCGATACATTGAATGGACTGCACTCTTTTGACATTCCAAGTGCTCCACCCAGATTACCTAAAGCCAAAACGACGATCAGTAAGTAATCTAGTTCCTTGTACTTCAATAATTTTAAATCCCCTTCCCCAATGCTTCTGATTACTAAAGAAAACAAATCAAATGCTTGTTTGGTTAGCAATTAGAATCAGTTTCACACACCGTGACATATTTTCCAATAAAAAATCTGTAGCTAAGGTTGATCCGGACACATATCTTGATCAGCGTTTAAATTTTACTGAAATCTACACTAAACAACTACTAAATCTTTTCTATGTTCACAAGATATAAACTATCTACATTTATTTTTTTAACATAATTTTTTATTAAGAGTATTATTAGGAATTAAGAGATGTATTTGAGGAGCAAAACTTGAATAATGATTTCTCTCTTCTTTCCATTCTTTACTGCGTTAAACTCCAATTTGATGCCTAAATCATCATCTAACTTAGTGAAGCTGCAATGTTATTGCTTCTATTCTTTCAACCAGGAAAGTGCATCGTTAATTTACAGTGTCCACCGACAAAAGAATCTGCAACAGTCATACATTAACTTACCGGAAATATTCAATTGTTGTGTACTGATCCTTTATTAATATTTTTTCTCATAAATTAGATTTTGCTGTCTATGTGTGGGATGCGCTTGCACCGACTATGATGACCAAGTGTTTTTTAGTTTTTTGTTTTAAGAAAAGAAAACTGAAATTGAAAATTTTATGGGTCTAATTCTAAATGTAACAAAAATGGAAACCAATTTAGGACTTTGATTTGTACATACTTTGCAATGGCCATTTGACTTGTCCTCAATAATGCAACCGGATGGGCGTTTTCTACATTTCACGAGGGACGCGTCAATGTTGTCTTCTACTTTGTCTATGGATATATCAACGATTGCCCACTGTTCAGCACTCAATTGTTTGCAATAACGGACAAAATAAACTTCTCTTGTGGGCACCATTGGAGTGAGCATTTGCAGCTCCGCAAACATCTGCATCCAATACAAAATTAAGGTTTAGAGTTTTCATGTCAAGTTAAACTTTGTGCCTTTAGTACTTCCACGCCAAAAGTTCTCACTGTCCAAATCTAAGAACTTCGACAAGGTCATGTTTGTCTTTTAACTTCAAGTATCTTATATTATAAGATATAAAATAGTGGTTTATTATATGCTTTTTGATTGGCACTTAACCTTTGAGAGCAAAATATTTTCATAAAAAGATATGGAGAGAAAGAGAGAGAGATTCCAGCTGGATACGTTGGATAAGATATGGGGAAGTGAGAGGAAAGTGCCAAGAGTTACTAAATGGTATCCTAACTTTTATATATTATTATCTTTTTAAAGTTTTCTGTGTCTTTGTCTATGCTTTCTGTGATATAAATAAAGGTCGTGCTTTAAAGGTGCGGAAAAAGTCATAAGCACTTACATTTCCAAACAGAAGGCTAATGCATGGAGTAAGAAACCATATTTTCTATGAGCAATAAGGGTAATTTCACACATGCAACTCCTTTTTTTTTTTATCTTAAACATTTAAACCTTTAGGATGGAAAATTCAAATACGAAAGATCGTTTTAAATAGCTTGAAACCGTCCTTTTCTCTGGTTTGTCATGTTTGGACCACTTGGGAAAATAAATCTCCATGCCCATAAATCCACGTTCGCAATGTTTCTTTCTATTTTACAACGGGAAATAAATTTTATTTAAAACACTAGGCTGAGTGAAAATGATTAAAGTTATGACACTTAATAATTTTTTTCCATTTCAGTTTAGTGTGACAGCCTAAACTTTAATCGAATCCTTCATTCAGTAGGGCCCAGCGAATTCAATATCAAAGAAATCTAGCACAGCGGTAACCATTTTCCCTTACCAGTTGCACTGCACCATTCCTGTTAGAACCTTCTCCATTGCATATAACATCAACCATTGCCGCCTTAGATATCAAACAAGGAAACATTTCCTTCCATTGATTCTGCAAGAAGCATAACAATGATCTTTTGCAAGTCAAAAGGAAATATATTCATTCTAACTCACAACTGAATAATGAATTATTTTCAAGAGCCCTTTTGTTACAAGAGATTGATTAAAGAAACTATTAAAAGACAAAACTTACATACTATTTTAGTGTAATAAAATGTTTATATTTAATGTTATCACGTTAAAATAAAATTCTAAATTGGAATAATAAACAACACTAATAAAAGAATCGCATTCATGTTATGGTCTTTCAAGATTATATTTATAATTGAAGAGGCATTCCACACATGCATGTAGGTAAATTACCGCATCTAGAAAACTTTGGACAAGACGAGGGAGATCGACAAAAACAACCCCCGTCTCTCTTGAAGCTTCGATGGATCTCTTTGGCCTTTCATTGTTTGCATTTTCAACTGCAAACTCCTTCATATACTCATCATAGTTAAGTATTTCGCGACCAGTCTCAAAGCTACGAAGCCATAATGGTTCTCCCATGGTAGCCATCTTAATGAGCTCCTCCATTGCTTGGTTTACTATGTCCATTATCCTTGATTTATCAAGTCCAAAAATTCCAGTGTAAAAATCCAAAGAGCTTCTATTCTCTTGATCATGGCCCGAAGAACATGAAGGAGACGCTGTCCCTGGTGCGTATTTTCCTATAGCTGCTCTAAGCTTCTCTACCTACACGTGTTTGAGAGTGTAAATTTTCAATTTTT